CTGAGGTTGTGTCACGTCAGCCGGTGGTTCTGGGGACAGAACGATAGCGAGAGACAGAGCTCACCTTTGTCCTGACCTGAGGGCTCAGCTCACTGCCCAGCTCAGCTCACCACCAGCTCCCCGAGGGGCAGCCTTGGGGGGAGTGGGGAGTGGTGCCTGCGGCTGAGGGCTGGACACCCACACAGGAGCCTGATCCCCCAGCTCTGGCTGTGAGGGTGCAGATGTCACCACCCAGAGGCCCACCCAGGTTCCTGTTGGGTTAGACCCGTGGTCTTCTCCACCAGACCCCCAGCAGGCAGCAGGGATCAGCAGAGATCGTGTGGCTTGCACAGTTTGGGCACAGTCACCTTTGGGCGGCAGTGAGGCTGTGCTGGAGCTCCTGTCTGTCAGGCCCCACACCTGCCCGGTCAAGTCTCCTTTCCAAGCGTCACAGCGGCAGCTGTGAGCCTGCGGCTCCCCTTCTGTCTCTGTGGTCAGCAAGCTGCACCCGGGTCCCGGCTTGACTGATGTGGCCCCTATGGCCACCCTGTGAGTGGGTGTTGCTTTAGCGGGCTGCCTTCTGCAGGTGTTTGGGGGAGCAGGCGAAGCGCCTAGCATGAGGTAGGTTTCTCTGAGCCCGGGCCCCGTGGTGCTCGGGGTCTCACTGCTGTGTTTGAACTCCTGTAGGCCGGTCGCAGACTACCTGGACGAGACGGTGGTGCAGGGCCTGAAGCAGATTCACCAGCAGGTCCGTGGGTCCTAGAGTGTCCGCCTGACCTCAAGCTCTCTCCGCCCTCAGCCGGTTCGAAGGCTGGCGCTGCCTGGACCGGAAGCTTCCTGCGAGCCCTGGGCAGTGCAGAGCGGGCTGTCAGCCGGGGAGCAGTCCTCCGCTCCGTAGGCCAGCTCCCTGGGGTGGCGGGGTTGGGAAGAGCATCTCTCCTCATGTGGCAGCGGCCCAGGTGCAGGCTGGCGGGGCAGGTAGCTCACAGGCCTCACGTCCCCTCCTGTCTGGGTCGTGGCCTGTTCTCACAGAGCCAGGCAGCACTAAGGCCTTGGATTCCGGGTGCCTGCATGGCAGCGTCCTGAGTCTGAAGTTACACCAGAGTGTGGTGTGCGCTCTGGGGACAAGGGCTGAGGGCTTTCTGAGTTTTCAGCTCCTCAGAGGCGCCTATGATTCCAAAGAGGGAATCCACGAGCTGCGGTCTCGGTGTTCTAGGACAACCCCGAGCCAGGAGCAGGCATTGGATGGCTTCCCTGTTTGTGGCCCAGTTAGACCCCGGATTTTTTACGTAATAATGCACCTTGGGTCTTAGCCTCTTAGCTGCTTGTGCCACGAGCTTGCTGTTTGATCTGGCTGAGCCATTGGTCTTTTTACTTACAGTTCTCACTCTACAATGGAGTTGGCCTGTTTACCTCCCGCTGTCAGGACAGCGTGAGCGCCTGAGAGCCGGTGGTGCTGGCAGCTCAGAGACTCATGTGGGGGCCATGCGGCCCCCTCGTCCTGTAGAGTGTGGGTGGAACCTCCCTCCCTGGAGTTCTGGGGAACTAAGGGCCGTGTGAGCGCTCAGTCCCTGCAGCCTAGGGGTTCTGCTCAAGAGGCCGTCTAGGAGGGCAGTCATGGCTCGGTCAGTCCTGGACCCGCACATCTGGCAAACCTCTCTGTGCCCTGGTTTCCCTCCTGCACACCCCCCACGGGGTTTGTGCCCACAACCAAGGTACATGCCCTTGACCAGAATCGAACCTGGAATCTTTCAGTCCGCAGACTGACTCTATCCACTGAGCCACACCGGTTAGGGCTTTTTTTTTTTTTTTTTTTTTAACAGAGAGAGACTCATTGATGTGATAGTGAAACAATTGGCTGTTCTGAGGATTAAATGAGAGAACAGGAGCATGAGGCTAAGGGAGGTGCTTGCAGAGAGCGAGTGGGCTCCGTCCCTGCTCTCTCACGGTTAATAGACTCACCGACTTTAAAACCCAGATGACCTACCTCACTAAGAACTTTCTGTTTTTTAATTTTAGCTTCATGATCGGCAGTTATACAGGTAAGCTTTACAAACCCGAGTTCTCATGTTTTGTCTTGCCGAGTGAGCGCACTGCGTGGTCTACTAGCCCCTCAGTGCTGAGTGGGACTCTGGTCCGGCCGTCCTGCTGGGTCACCTCAGTGCTGAGTGGGACTCCTGTCCGGCTGCCCAGCGGGGTCTCTGTGTTCATTTATTGAATGTGTGTCACCGTCATTCCCGTTAAGAACTGAGAGGTCTCACCTGTTGGTCTTCTAAGCGTGTGGAGGTTGACTTGACGCTTGCTGGCTGGAGTGTGGACTCGGACAGGTTTAGAGGTTGCAGAGGGTCGTGTGGCTGTGGCCCCAATAAGGCAGCGTGCCTGACACTTCCTCCTCCTCCGTCCGCAGCCTGCGGTCTGCTCTCCGGCACCAGGGCAGTCTTTTCTGACCTTGTTCTGCAAAGTCTGGGGCCTGGTGTCGTCTGGCAGTGTCTCTGATGTGTGGCGGCCCTGCACAGGCACCCTGTGGACTGTGTGGTCCTTGGGGATGCGGTCCTCGGTGCTGTGCATGCTCGGTGATGTGCATGCTCGGTGCTGTGCGGTCTTCGGTGCTGTGCATGCTCGGTGCTGTGCGGTCTTCGATGCTGTGCATGCTCGGTGCTATGCGGTCCTCGGTGCTGTGCATGCTCAGTGCTGTGTGGTCCTCGGTGCTATGGTCCTCGGTGCTGTGCGGTCCTCGGTGCTGTGCATGCTCGGTGCTATGCGGTCCTCGGTGCTGTGCATGCTCAGTGCTGTGTGGTCCTCGGTGCTGTGCGGTCCTCGGGGCTGTGCGGTCCTCGGTGCTGTGTGGTCCTCGGTGCTGTGCATGCTCGGTGCTGTGCATGCTCGGTGCTTTGCGGTCCTCGGTGCTGTGCGGTCCTCGATTCTGTGCATGCTCGGTGCTGTGCATGCTCGGTGCTTTGCGGTCCTCGGTGCTGTGCATGCTCGGTGCTGTGCAGTCCTCGGTGCTGTGCATGCTTGGTGCTGTGCATGCTCGGTGCTGTGCGGTCCTAGGTGCTGTGCGGTCCTCGGTGCTGTGCGGTCCTCGATTCTGTGCATGCTCGGTGCTGTGCATGCTCGGTGCTGTGCGGTCCTCGGTGCTGTGCATGCTCGGTGCTGTGCGGTCCTCGGTGCTGGGCAGTCCTCGGTGCTGTGCGGTCCTCGGTGCTGTGCGGTCCTCGGTGCTGTGCGGTCCTCGGTGCTGTGCATGCTCGGTGCTGTGTGGTCCTTGGTGCTGTGCGGTCCTCGGTGCTGTGTGGTCCTCGGTGCTGTGTGGTCCTCGGTGCTGTGCGGTCCTCGATTCTGTGCATGCTCGGTGCTGTGCGGTCCTCGGTGCTGTGCATGCTCGGTGCTGTGCGGTCCTCGGTGCTGGGCAGTCCTCGGTGCTGTGCGGTCCTCGATGCTGTGCATGCTCGGTGCTGTGCGGTCCTCGGTGCTGTGTGGTCCTCGGTGCTGTGCGGTCCTCGGTGCTGTGCATGCTCGGTGCTGTGCATGCTCGGTGCTGTGCGGTCCTCGGTGCTGTGTGGTCCTCGGTGCTGTGTGGTCCTCGGTGCTGTGGTCCTTGGTGCTGTGCTCCCTGCTCACAGGTGATGGCCTTGGGCTGTCCCTCTTTGCGTCTAAGACACGGAGGCCTTGATCTTTCCCTCCTGTGGCGGGAGCTGCTCTGCATTCTCGTTGGCTGGGCCTCCTTGACTGGAGCCAGCTCGTGGGGTGTGCGTGCGTTTCCCAGGAACCAGGCGCCTTCACGCCTCCTGTCTTCTGAGAAGACACTGTTCAGGTTTCTTGCTCGTTAAAATAATCTCATGATCTGCCTCCTTCTTACTGAGCTGGCAGCATCTCTACGTATTCTGGATATGAGCTCTTTGTAGACATAGATTTCCCAGTATTTTCTCCCTGTCTGTAGTTTGCCTATTTATTTTTCTTAGTGGCTTTGATTTTTATTTTATTTTATTGATTTTTTTACAGAGAGGAAGGGAGAGGGATAAAGAGTTAGAAACATCGATCAGCTGCCTCCTGCACACTCCCCTGGGGATGTGCCCGCAACCAAGGTACATGCCCTTGACCGGAATCGAACCTGGGACCTTTCAGTCCGCAGGCCGATGCTCTATCCACTGAGCCAAACTGGTTAGGGCTTTTTTCTCCTTTTTCTTCTTTTTTTTTTTAACAGAGAGAGAGAGGAAGGGAGAGAAAGATTCATTGATGTGAGAGTGAATTGGCTGCCTCCTGCACGCCTACCAGGGATTGAGCCCACAATCCTGGCATGTGCCCTGAGCGGAATCGAACCAGCATCCTTTCAGTGATGGAATGATGCCCAGCTGAGCCACACAAGCCAGGGTCTTCTTAATGGCTTTGTTGTTGTCGTTAACCTTCACCCAAGGGTGTCTTCTCCATTGATTTTCAGGAAGAGTGAAGGAGGGAGAGGGAAGAAGAGAGATAGAAAGAAGAAAGGGGGGAGAGAGAGAGGGAGGGAGAGGGGAATATGAGGAGACATGTCTATTGATTGCCTCCCACACGTGCCCTGAGAAGGGCCCGGGGATTGAACCTGTGGTCTTTGGTGCAGGGCCGTGCACGCCAGCCTCTGTTCTTGGCGTCTCTTCCCACCTTCAGCTTTCCTGAGCGCCTGGGCCTGTGCAGGGCTCAGACCAGGCCCCTCACCGTGCGAGTGTCGACACCAGGAATGTCCAAACCTGTATTGAGTTTTTATGAGTTTATTGGAGCCAAACTGATGACAGTTTCTGGGAAGCAAAATCTCACCAGATTGAGAAAATGCTGTGGAGAAAGGTAGTTTTGCAGCTTCTTGGATACATTGGAATCAAAGGGGGAGATGAAAGCAGGGTCACAGGATATCCACTGGTAAATTAGGGAGCGAGCAGAGCAGGAATTCTCTGGGGTTGGATAGGAGTAAAACGGCGAGACATTCTCTCACATCAGCGGCAGGTACTGGGCAGCTGATGACCTTACGGCAACGAGATAGCGGCGAGGGGTTCTTCAGTCTCATGCTCCGGGCAGCCCCGCGGGCTCTGTAACGGGAGATCCGCTGACGTCCCGAGGTTTGTTATCGCAGGTGCAAAGGCCATAGGCTCACTTGAGGTGAAGGCTGACCTTTGTCAGGGAAGCTGCAGGCAGGACGTGACCCCCGCCATGACCGCTGACAGTGAGGACTGGATGTTCAGACGTTCTGTGTGGTAACGTGTCCCTGAGCTTCAGGTGAAGGGCGGGGACCCTTTCTGCTCTCACTGGACCCTCCACTCTTCCTCCCCCCGGAGCTGGCGCTGCTCTCGCTGAGCTGGGTGTTCCCTCTTCCCGGACCTCCGTTTTCCAGCCTCGGAAATGGTTTCCTCTGCTCCATCCACGTCTCTGACATTTACAGCGGAGGCTGATCTGGGTCCTGTTCCTCTGTCCGGGCCAGAAGCCCAAGCCTGTGAAATGATGTTCTTCTCCGAGAGGGTTTCTCCCGTGCATGTTCACCGTTTCCTGTCAGCCTTAGACATCGGCTCGAGGTGACTGAGAGCCGGCAGGGCTGCAGGGCTCTCCTCCAGGTTCTGTTCGCACGGAGGCAGGTGGATGCTTCCTGGGCTGGTGACGGCACCTTCCTGGTGTCTGAGATTCCTGTCATTGCTTGTTGTTTGTTCATCCTCACCCGAGGGTGTTTTTAGAGAGAGTGAATGGGAGGGGGAGAGACAGAGAGAAACATCAATGTGAGAGAGATACATGGATTGGTGCCTCCCACATGCACCCCTGACCAGGGTCTGGTGATCCAGTCTGCAACCAAGGTACATGCCCTTGACTGGAATCAAACCCGGGACCCTTAGTCCGAGAGCTCTATCCACTGAACCAAACTGGCCAGGCATTGGATTCCTCTGGTTTTTACAAAGTGGGAGTTGAACAGTGTTTGGGATTTGTTCTCTGTGATTGTTTGATGTGATTGACGCCAGGAAGCACTAGAGTGTCCAGTGAAAAGGACAAGTCAGAGGAACCCGTTAGGATGGGGGGCACTAGGAGATGGTGCCAGGACCTCTTCCCAGTTCTTCCTGTGAAAAGGCAGCGTCTTACTGGTAAAGGGATGTTTGGTGATGCTGACTGTCCACAGCCACTGGAGACGTTCAGTTAGAAACAGGAACATCGCTCTGCAGTGTAGGTCTTGCCAAACCTACGCGATGCAGAGGTGTTACATGAAAACCAGTTGAAGGTATGTGAGCATCGAGCAGTGGCTGGCACATAAAATCTTTGGAAGTGCTCTCGCCCCAAGTAGCTCCTCCTGGCCCTAGCAGTTGCTGCGAGGTAACATCTGTATAATGCTTAGAGCCTGCCTGGTCCCTGCTACTTGGTGAGGATGTTTCATATAATGTTTTATATAATAAGACACTTTCACTCTTTTTGTGTGAATTTCCAGAGGCCTGGGAGGAGAGCTCATGCGACAAGCAGGTAGGTCAGCAAGGGCGGCTGCAGGTTGTGGTTGCACCCTCTCATTCCCTCGTGGGGTGGGGCGGGGAGAGTCCAAAGGCGTTTGCCTCTCTCGGCACCGTGGCGTGAGCATGCCCTTCCCCGGACCCCGGGCCTGCCCGCTGCCGGGTCCACTTGACTCCATGTGTCCAGTCATTCCAGTCAACAGATCAGGGTGCCGGGAGCAGGGCTTCCCGATGGCAGCGGCCAGGATGGCATGGGGGAGGGGCATGGTGCGGCTTTCAGGACGGGATGGTGGTGAGGGGCCCAGTGTTGCTCTCTTAGCCTCTTCAGCACCTTTAAGGCAACTGTAGAGCAAGGAGTAATTTTTCAGACTATATTTAAACTTTGCAAGGAACTCAATGATGCCAACATGCCTAGGTTCTCTGATGCATTTTTAACTAAACTTAGAAAACCCAGACTCATCCCCTTGTCTGGTCAGTAGGTGTCTGGTCGGTTCTGGCCGTGCCCTGCGCTCAGGTCCTGCAGAGTCCTCACCCAGGAGCAGGCGGGCGGGCGGGGCTCACAGTCCTGATGGGACAGACGTGCCCTCATGTGTTTCCCTTTCTCCTCCTAGTGTGCGTTCTAATAGAAAACCTGTCCCTTTCCAAGATGCCCTTCAGGGGCGACGCTGTCATCGGTAAGTGCTTTGCCCCCGTGACTCGCCTTGCAGCCTTTTCTTCCAGAGCTGCTCCACGTGAGAAGTAAAGACGAGCCTGTGAGGATAGGGGCCGTTTCCTGATGGTGGAGCTCTTGGCTCTGACACGGCTGCCAGGGCCAGTTGTAAATGACGGCATCGGCCACACACCCTCAGAAACAGGCCTCCCCTTCTCCTCCGAGACACGCTTCCTCCTCAGAGCCCTGGCTGGCTGAGGCCCTTGCAGAACCAGGGGAGGTGGCAGCAGAGCCAAAGCCACTGGGCAGGATGGGGGAGAACCTGCAGGGGAGGGGGGAGGTGCGGCCAGGCCCCTGTGCAGGTCCAGTGCCCTTGGCAGCCCTTTCTGTCCAGCAAGCAGGGCCTTTTCTGGTTGTGTGAACAGCAGCCGCGGAGAGGCAGCGAGGAGGGCTGCCCCGTGCTGCCTTGACTGCAGCCTCCGGAGAACGTGTAGGTTCGGCATTTGTTGCCAGATGGTGGGTCTAATTGAGTGGAATGTTTGGGTTTATATTGGGGGGTTGCAGGGGGCAGGGGGGTTTGGTTGAGGGAGAGGTACAGGAAAAGACCACTGGAAGTTTGTAGGTGTAATAAAAGGACAAACATTTCCAGGTTTGGCTGAGTGGATGGAGTGTCAGCCCTCAGACTGAGGGTCCTGGGTCTGATTCCTGTCAAAGAGCATGTACTCCGTCCCTGTTTGGGAGCGTGCAGGAGGCAGCCAATGGCTGTGTCTCTCTCACATCGATGTTTCTCTGTCCCCCTCCCTCTACTCTCTCTAAGAATGGTTGGAAAAAATATCCTCTGGTGAGGATCGACAAAACAAAATAAAATGTTCCGTGGTAAGAGTTTTAGCATTTCAGCAGCAAAGGAGGCTTTCCCTGTAACCGAGGGCCTTCGGCTCCTACAACCCAGGGAAGGTTCACTTTAGGGTTTCTCCGCGCTCACCGTGTGCATCTGCGTGGGTTCACGAGGTGGAAGGCTGTGTGGTCGACTGTAGCTTCGTCTCACTTCTAACGGGATGGTCTCTCTGCTTCGGTGACAGATGGCTGGCTGTGGCTGATAAGCGACACCTTGCGAAACCTCCACCACGTGTCCAGTCACTCCAGGCAGCAGATCAAGGTGCGGGGAGCAGGTTTCCAGGGGCTGCGCGGTATCGAGAACGACATGACTTTTTAGTGTTTGTTTCAAAAGACTGCATTATGGGTCCCTTTTGTACACTAATGGGGTAACTGGACAATGCCACATTTTGTTTGGATTTCCGGGTGGTATTGTCTATGTAACATGTAATCAGAAAAATGAATTCAGCTATTGGTGACCAGAACACGCAACTTTCAAATTCCTGCTTCTGGTTTGATCCTGTTCCCCTGAGCGCTGTCCCGCAGGTCGGGCGTTGTAGGGAGCTGCGTGTGCGGTGCTTACGTGCAGACGCGCTGCAGGCACGCTCGCTGCCGCGCTGGCATTTCTGAAGGAGTGTGTGTCCCCTCGGGGCCAGGTGGGCGAGGGGTACACGCTGTTCCTTTCCCCGCACAGCGGCCATCACCAGGGCACTGGGAGGGACTTGCTTCGTATTGAGGATGAGGAAATGAGGGTGTCCTTCTCTCCTGTGTATCAGCATTTCTGCTGGGCTATGGAAGGCTTCTTCAGCGTCCTTTTTAAAAGGAACTGTCATTCTGTAGAAGCTAAGCACCATTTTACTAGTTGAATTTGAGCGCCTCGGGATCAGTGCTGCAAACTGTCCTTTTAAAACATCCATAACTGACTCCTACAAGCCGTGACCCCGGTGCAGTCTGCTGCCCTGATTGGTACCAGTGACACCTCGTTCTGAACTCCCTCCCACGCTCATGGCCCCTCCTGCCCGGCCCAGCAGCTCTTTCCCGGGCTGCTCTGGGGCCTTGCGCCCGGTCTGGAGAGTGGAGAGGACATAGGGATCTAGTGTTTGCTCTTTGCAGGTCCCTCTGTAGCCAGGTGTTCAAGGAAAGGACCTGTGAGTCCCTGTCACCTCCATGCTCTCCCCCCTCCCATTCCTCCCTTCTCCCTCCCCCCCTCCCCCTTCCCCCTCCCTCCCTCCCTCCCTTCCTCCCTCCCCCCTCCCCCCTCCCTCCCTCCCCCCCCTCCCTCCCTTCCTCCCTCCCCCCCCTCCCTCCCTCCCTCTCTGTGTGGCTCTGCCTGGGGACCAGTGCTGCTGAGGGGCCCCTTCCTGTTCCCAGGGCCCTGGACCCCCAACTCCTCTCTGAACAAGGCCCAGCACGGCCTGCTGAGTCCTTGCTCACATCACACCGGGCGGCTGGCACACACCTCCTCCTCCGACCTCTGCTGGGAAAGGACGGTGCCCGTTCCGTTCCAAACTGTTCGTGTGATAAGACGTGGAGTCTGCATTGTTTGGAAGAAATAACCAAGTTTTCTATTCAGTTTATTGTTTGCAAAAACCGTTACAGTTTTAACTACCTGACATGACGGCTCGCTGTTGTGCTGGAAGGAAGATGTAGTAACGTACTTCGCGTCTGACTGCAGCGCGCCGGCCGCTCCCCTGGGTCCTGGGAGGCTGAGGCGCTCATGTCCTGCTTGGTTTCAGGAAGCGGCTGTCTCGGCCCTGGCTGCTCTCTGCAGCGAGTATTGCACGGAGGAGCCCGGGAAGGCGGGTGAGTGATGGCCCTGACCCTCGGGCCCTCTGGGCATGGTGGGGAGCTCCCTCCCGCCCGCCCTCTGCAGCGTGCACACGGAGGGCACTGGTGGCTCCCGGGCCGCCCGCTCTCCCGCCCAGGCTGGCAGGCTGTACCAGGCTCTCCGCTCCGGCGGCTCGGTGTCAGCTTTCTCTCCTGCTGAGCGTCTGAGCGGGCTCTCGTCTCAGCAGCATCGGCTCACATCACACTCGACGTGAGCTCTTCCCGCCCTGAGCTCTGGAGGCTCCGGTTCTGTGCAGGGAGCCACTGTCCTGTCTCCTGTGTAGACCTGCCTTTCCCTTCCATGTGGTTCCTCACCGCCTCCATTGTCACTGTCGCTTCCAACTTGTTCGGATGCGCCTTCCAGGGTCTGTGGCTCCGAGCGTCCGCTCGCTCCCTCTCCCATGCCTTCTCCTGGGCCTCCATTCAGAGCACAATGACCCCATTGGCTTTTCTGTTTTGTGGTAAACGGTGTTTGTATTCCCACAGGCACGTCCTTCTTCTTGGTGGGGACAGTGAGCGTGCTGCCTCGCCACTCAGCGGCTCCGGCGTTTCCCAGACGCTGCACGCTGCAGCGGCCGACCCCTGGCCGAGCCCGTCCCTAGGATGCTATCACGTGCCACGTTGCTGTTCCGTGGGACGCGGGCAGCCCTACGGGCATGGGAGACGCTTTCCAAATTAATAGTGTCTTCCTAGGTCCCCTTCCCACGGGCAGTGTAACTTAAAGAGAAAATAACGTTTTGTATTTAGTCTATTTTTAAAATTGAGATAAGATCAAGTTTTGATTTTTGCCTAAGAAAAATGTACTGTATCACACCATTCTGAATATAGAAAGAAATACTATTCAGAAATAAGCCTTGAAAATGCATGTGTATTGAGGGGGAAGGGAGGTGGTTTTTTCATGCTACTGGTGTCTCCTGTAAGTTCCACCACAGGTGTCAGTGTAGTGTATGAACAAGTGGAACTCCTTTATTTCTCAATACATTTTTATTGAGTTCAGAGAAAGGAGAGGGAGAGAGAGAGAAACATCCATGATGAGAGAGTCATCAGTTGGCTGCCTCTTGCACGCCCCTCCTGGGGATGGAGCCCGCAACCGGGCCTGTGCCCTGACCGGGATTCAACCTGCCACCGGCTGGTGTATGGGACGACGCTCCAGCCGACGGAGCCACGGCCGGGCGTTTGCCTCATTGGAGGGAGACGTTGCCTCCACGTGAGCATCGTGTTCTCACTGCGTAAACACGGAGAATTACGGCTGTGTGGACCATTCTCAGCACCCTCGTGGGTGTGCTTTTCTGAGTGAAATCATTTGCTGAAATTGTTCATGAAAACCTTAACACCACCCAGTATAAGTTTCTATAGATTTCTTCGATGGATTCCCTTTGAAAACATCTGCTTCTGGAGCCTGAGTTGCCCCTCCTCTCTGGGCGCCGTTGGGCTCTGCTTCTGAAACGCCGCACAGAGCAGGCGAGGAAGCCACCGCAGCGGGTCACCTGTGGCTTCTTTCCAGAGGGGCTGATGGACGCGTACCTCGCCGAGCTGCAGAGCCCTGAGGAGATGACGCGCTGCGGCTTTGCCATGGCCCTGGGCGCCCTCCCCGGCTTCCTGCTGAGAGGCAGGCTCCAGCAGGTGAGCTGAGGGAGCGAGGACGGGGGTCTGAGCGAGCCGGGGCGTGTGTGAGACCATACACATGGTGGGGGGGAGGCAGGCATGTGTGAGACCATACAACATGGGGCGTGTGTGAGACCATACACATGTGAGGGAGCGTGAGACCATGCACATGTGAGGGCGTGTGTGTGTGAGACCATGCACATGTGAGGGAGTGTGTGTGAGACCATGCACATGTGAGGGTGTGTGTGTGAGACCATGCACATGTGAGGGTGTGTGTGTGTGTGACCATGCACATGTGAGGGCATGTGTGAGACCATGCACATGTAGGGGACATGTGTGAGACCGTGCACATGTGAGGGCGTGTGTGTGAGACCATGCACATGTGAGGGCGTGTGTGTGTGAGACCATGCACATGTGAGGGCGTGTGTGTGTGACCATGCACATGCGGGCAGGGTGGCACATGTCCCTGCCCGGTGTGTCTCAGGCTCCACACCAGGCAGACTTGACCCTGGGGCGCATCCACACACAATGCCTCTTGGAGCCCCGCGGCTGCCTGGTCACAGGACGGGCAGGCCCTCACGCTCACGGGCACGACACCAGCGCTGAGTCTCCGTTCGCGGGAAGGTGCGTTGATCTCGTGGTGACGGGTTCCTGCCTTTCAGGTTCTGGCGGGGTTGAGAGCCGTCACCCTCTGCTCGGAGGACGTGAGCTTCGCCGAGTCCCGGCGGGATGCTGTGAAGGCCATCGCCAGGTGAGTCCCCGGAGTCCCCGGCTCCACCCTCGGGAGCCAGCGACCCCTCCGAGGGCTGGCCCTTCGGAAGCCCCTTCTCGGGGACCATCTCCCAGAGGCAGAGGCTTTTTTTATTTCCTAGTTTCTTCTCTCGTGGAGGATTGGAAAGAACAGTTCCCGCTCAGGCTCCTTCGCAGTCTGTCCAGTTCTAGGGAGCGTTCAGCCCGTGTGTGCTCAGTCCATCACGTCAGGAAACGGGCCATTTTAAAGATGGGCAGCCCCAAGGACAAGGACGGGACAGTGCGAGTGGCTCTGGTCCTTCGTCACGAATGCGTACATGTCGGACGCGCTGTCCGACCCTCCCCTCCCCCCCAGCACATCGGAGGACACTGAGTGGGCCCACATGCCGTCCAGGCCCTGGTGGCACGCTGTCCCTTCTGCCCCGAGAGAGGGCAGGAGGGCCCAGGCACAAGGCGCCTTCTAAGCTGTGGGCACTGGAGAGCGTGGATCGGAGCAGAGGTGGTGGTCACGGGAAGGGGTGCCGGGCGTCGGCCTCCCTGCCAGTGTGCTCTGAGCGTGTCCTGTGAGGAGGAGCCCGTCAGGCTGGAGGGACTCAGGACGTGCACTGTTTTCAATTCCAGGATTTGCCAGACTGTCGGTGTGAGAGCAGAAGGGACCCCGGACGAGGTTGTGTGCAAAGGGAACGTGTCCCAGATTTACTGCACGCTGCTGGACTGTCTGCGCGACTACACCACCGACAGCCGCGGGGACGTGGGCGCCTGGTGAGGCTCCTCACGGCCCCGGAGGGGGCTTGCCCTGGCTTCCAGCCGCTCTGGGTGCCTCAGAGCACGCGGCGAAGTGGGGAGGAGGGCTCTCCCCGGGGTCCCGTTCGCGCCCAGAGGCCAGGCAGGCTGGGGTGTGGGTGACTGGTGACTTCGGGCCAGGACCCAGTCCCCTCCGACGATGTTTCAGAGACGTCTGCGGTCTCTAGAGCGTGGCCTGTTTTCAGAGATCCTCATTCTTCGTAGGAAGTCTCATTGTCTCCGCCTTTTTCTCTTCAGCGTGCTCCTCGGGGTTGTTTTAAGGACTCTGCCCGTTACACCAACATCTGGCACCTGGAGGCCCGTTTCTGCTGTTGTCTCTCATCACCTTAGCACTTGGCCTTGCTTTTTAAAATATATTTGTGTTGATTTCAGAGAGGAAGGGGGAGGGAGAGAGAAAGAGAAACGTCCATGATGAGAGAGAAACACTGATTGGCTGCCTCCTGCACGCCCCCCACTGGAGGGTGAGCCTGCAACCCGGGCCTGTGTCCTGACCAGGAATCGAACTTACGACTTGCAAGTTCATAGGTCGATGCTCAGGCACTGAGCCACGCTGGCTGGGCGGTCTTCTTTTGTTCTTTAATATTCCTTTTAGTTTTTAACTAAATTCAGAAATCGTGAATTCAAAGCTTGGAGGCTTTGGGTTGGGTAATTTCCTTTGAGCAGGTGGTAGGCCCCGTGGTGGGCTCAGGTCGCCGAGGGCCCTCAGCGGCGGCTGGGCCGGCCCTTACTCCTGCTACACCCCAGGGCGTGGCCTGTGTCTGCAGCCCGGCTGAGGGCCTCAGACCCCAGGGCCTCCTCCTGCTCACGTCCCCCAGCTGCTGACTTGAGGACGTTGGACCCTCACCTGTGCTTGACCAGTTAGGAGCAGGTTGGGTCCCTCCCCAGCCTTTCCCTGTGAGTGCTGCGCCCACAGAGACGGGGTCCTCCCTGTCCCCACACTCTGCCTGCTCCTTGGCACGTCCAGAGATCATGTGTCCTGAGGAGCAGTTCGCCTGGCGTCTGAGCCCCCGCTCCTGTCAGCCTCTGGCCTGCGTCCGCTGCATTTCAGCATGCTGTGCCTGCCCTCGGCACCTCCCCTCCAAGCCCCCTCTTCACCCTGAGCAGCACAGGCTGCCTCCCTGATGGGCCCATTCGCTGCGTGGTGGGAGGGCGGGTGCCCAGGCCCGTGGGCTGTTGTGTCCAGGATCCTGTGGCCCAGCTTGTCCGACCTGGGCCAGTGCATGATGTCCCAAGTTTAAAAGGTGCTTTCACTGTGGAGCTGGGCCAGTCATGGTGTGAGCTCAGCTTGGCAGGTGGTCTCAGCTCCTTTCCTGGGAGCTGCTGTGGACCGTGTGCTCAGAGTGGACAGAGCTGTCCTGGCCTGGGACCCCTGGGCAGCAGGAGGGAGTCGCTCTGCACGTCCTCCAGGGAAGGCCAGAGCCCTCGGAGTTCTGCTGGAGGAAGCTCTGCAGAGTGTGTTTTGCCTTTAAAAGTTCTGGGAACGCCAGTGCTGTTTCTGGCGAGCGCCGTGCCCGCTTGCTGGGCCGCTGTCTGCGGGGCACGTCCTTGTCCGCCCGTCGTGGGGGAAGCGTTCTCAGAGGAGGGCGGCTGGTGGATGCTTCCCGCTCAGCGCGTTCAGGCTGAGGGCCTCACAGTCCCCTTCCCGCACGCACGGTCCCCTTCCCGCTGACAGTCACCTCAGGCTAGGGAGCAGCCTGCTCCCCCCTCCTCCTCCTCACCCCTCGTCCTCCTCCCCCCTCCTGTCCCTGCAGGGTCCGAGAGGCCGCCATGACCAGTCTGATGGACCTGACACTTCTCCTGGGGAGAGACCAGCCGGAGCTGATCGAGGCTCCCACGTGAGTGTTGGCGTGCACCCGCCTGTCGCCAGGCTGGCAGGAGGACAGCCATTCCCGGGCGAGGCCAGGGCAGGGCCCCTCCTCAGGCTTTGGGCCCTGGCACCTCAGTGCCTGCTCCGGCTAGGGGCCTGGCTGTCCCCTCTCCTGTCAGTTCCCGGGACACGGGCTGCCCCTGGGCCCTCCCTTGCAGAGTCTCCATGCCCCTTACTGGGCTGTTGCATCTGTGGCAATCCCGTTTTCCGAGCCTCCACCTGCCCTCACCCCGCTTCCCTTCCCCCTCCTGCCCTTTTCCTCCGTGCCCCCTTCTCGTCCCTGTCTTTTCTGCCTCCTTCCTGTGCCCATCACCACCTGCTGCCCACCCGGAGCCCTGTGTGTCCTCCCTGCCTTCCACCCAAGGCCTGGCATTTAGGCTTCTGGGGTTAGATCAGCTGTGGGGCCGGGGGGAGGCCCGCCGTGTGGGCAGGGAGCTAGGCCGTGCTGACCTGCAGCCGTGTCGCGTGTGCTCCACGGGCGCCCTCGGGTGGAGCCGCGCTACCGCTGGGCTCTTGGTTTGCAGCTGCCAGCGGGTCATGTGCTGCCTGGCCCAGCAGGCCAGCGAGAAGATAGACCACTTCCGTGCGCACGCTGCCCACGTGTTCATGACGCTGCTGCACGCGGCCGGCCCAGCTGGTCCCACCGTGCCCCACGTGCCCCACCGGGCCGAGCTGGAGCAGCTCTTCCCCAGGTATGGAGCGTCCGGTGCCGACTGCGGTGGGCGGCGGGCAGTGGGCGGCGGGCAGGGCCCTCCAGCTGGTGGCTCTCTTGCAGGTCCGAGGCCGCCTCTGTCAACTGGACCGCGCCATCCCAGGCCTTCCCTCGCATCACCCAGCTGCTGGGGCTGCCTGCCTACCGCTACCACGTGCTGCTGGGGCTGGCCGTGTCCGTGGGGGGCCTCACCGAGTCCACGGTGAGCATGCGTCTGGCCCGGCCTCTTTCCCAACCGAGCGGCTTTGGGTGGGCTGGGCGTCTGTCCTGGAGCTGGGCTGGGGCGTGCGCTGCTGGGGGCTGCCCCTCCCTCCTGCTGGGGAAGCAGGTCACCAGCCCGGCCCATCTCCTGGCCTCAGGCTCCAGGGCAGGGCCCTGGCGGCTCAGGGAACTGTCATGTCTGATGAGGGGAGCTCAGGAGCCGTGACATCGTGGCGAATTCCTGTTCCCGGCTCACAGTTCAGCCGCCATCTGTGCTGTGTGGTCCTGCCCCACTGCCAACTGGCCCTGGGGCTCTAGGTTCCTTTCCTTCTGTGCAAGGTGTGCCCGGGGAGGTGTGTGTTTCCGGTTTCTGCTGGCTTGGTCTTCACACACTCCTTGACCCTCAAAAGGTGTCGGCTTAGCCTGGGGGGTGTAGCTCAGTGGTCAGTCTGAACCAGGACGTCACAGTTCAATTCCAGGTCAGGGCACATGCCCAGGTTGTGGGCTTGATTCCCAGTTCGGGGTGCACAGGAGGCAGCCAGTCAGTGATTCTCTCTCAGCATTGATGTTTCTCTCTCTCCCTCCTTCTTCCTTCCTCTGAAATCAATTAAAAATATATACAACTTTAGGAAAGCGGTCGGTTTGACCTGCAAGGCCCCCCCCCCCACCACAGTCCTTATGGTGCTGCCCGCCGTCCTCTGCGGCCGCTGCGGCCGGCGGTGCCGTCCCCGTGCTGGGGCACCTGTGGTTGGCTGGTTTGTGAATCGTTGGGTCCAGAGTTCTTGGCACTTTGGGGATAGTCTTGGCCGTCCCCTCCCCCTGCTGGCTCCTTCTCTCTCGCGCGCGCGCGCTCTCTCTCGCCCGCTTGCACGCGCTCTCTGTCTGTCTCTCTCTCTCTCTCTCTCTCTCTCTCTCTCTCTCTCTCTCTCTCGCTTCCTCCATGTCCGCCCTCGGCTCTGCACGCTCCTCGCAGCTTTCTGTTGTCTGTGCTTGTCTCCCCATGAGTTTCATTGATGACATTTTTATTACCAGCCGTTCACTTTGTTCTGAAATTGGTGTTTCTCATGCTTGTTCATCTTAGGCTCATCTATGTGACTGTTTTTGTCCTGAAAGTGGTGCCCACAGGGTGGGGCACGTCTAGGTCTGTTCTCTGCTTCTACTGACTCCTTCCTGGGACTCGCCGGCTCCGCTGGTGACCTGGGGAGCTGCCTGCAGACAGCGGTGGGCGGCCCCCAGGCGCTGGGCGTGCTGCAGCGCTGGTCAGAGCTGCGTCTCCAGCGTCAGTCTCTCAGCTTCCTTGTCAGCTGTGCTGCTGGCGTCCAGTCTCAGGAACCGCTGGCTGCCTGCTGCTCCCAGCCTCATCGCTCGGGTGGCTCCTCCTCACCCTTCTAATCTGCAGGCCCCACTCTGGCCTCCTGCCCGTTTCCCGGGGAGCCCCTGACCACCCCACTGGGTGGCTCGGGTGATGTGGCCATTGGGGGATAGCGTGAGGGTTTGGGCAGTCTGCTGCCTGGAGGGAGCGTTTCCCTGTCAGGTGTTGGCTGGGTCCAGCTCACGCTGGCCTGACCCTCCCCTCTGGGCTCTCCTCTGCCCCCGAGCACTGTGCCTGCTGCTGGGATTGGCCCGGGGGCAGGTGGTGGCACGGGGGTGGCCTCATGACAGGACGAGGACAAGGACGAGGACGGCCCCTGTGTTGCAGGTCAGGCACTCCACCCAGAGTCTGTTCGTGCACATGAAGGGCATTCAGAACGACCGGCAGGCCCTGGAGAGCTTCAGTGGGACCCTCCTGCAGGTCTTTGAGGACAACCTGCTGAACGACAGGTATGCGTAGGCAGGCACAGGCCAGGGCCGTGGACATAGCTGGCGGGCACCTCCACCACCCTGCCCTCGGGGCCCTGCAGCCTGCGCTCTGGGGCCGTGGGATTCGGGGTTTCACAGGTTGGAAGTAACGTGACAGAGCAGGGCGCCCTTGTGCTCCCCCGTAGTGGCCCCGGGCCAGGTGCCAGCATGGCTCCACCTGCACCGTGGCCCCGAGCGGCGAGGCGCCGTGAGCTGAGCTGGGTGATGCGGTGAGAAAGGACTCTGTTCTCAACGTTTGCTCTGGGGCTTCGCTCGCTGCTTTCCCATGAAGGCAGAGGGTGGGCCTGGACCCTGACCCCAGCCCTCCCAGAGGGTTGTGGCCAGACGCCGTGGCCACAGGTCCCCTCGCTGGGCCGCAGGAGCCGTCGGCTCTCCTGCCGGGGGAAGCACAGACGCAGCTCGGGGGAGTCCTTTGGCCTCCACAAAGCCATCACCGTAGTCAAGACACAACCCGCACCCGAGAGCTTCCCCAGCCCTTCCTCCTCCCCTGTGCCCGGCCCCAAGGCGCCAACCCAGTGTAGGTGGCACTTTCCAGAACTTTCCGTGGACTCTTGCCACGTGCGCCCTCTGCGCGGGCTCCTCGGCCCCGCGCCTTGTCTGGCACGCAGTGCCGCGCTGTCCCCCTGCGTGGCGGCCCTGGCCGGCGCGGGGGCTGCCCCGTGGAGGCCGTCTGGAGGGAGCTGCAGTGAGCACCCAGCCTGTCTTCTGTGGCGCCTGCCCTTCTCTCCTGCAAAGCCAGGCCTCCTGGCTGGGCCACGTGGTTGGCCAGGATCGACTACTGTCCTCGGGGATCGGCTGTCCGCACCGGCGCCGCCGCCATGGCGTCCTGGTGGGGATGTGGGGTGTAGCCGCGTCCTGGTCGCGAGTCCTCTGTGCTGGAGTCTGCTCAGATCTTTGCCTGTTTTGGCTGCTCCGGCTGCTGGGCGTGGGGTCCCCCGGCTGGCCTTGCACTCGGAGTGCGACCTCAGGCTGTCTCCGTGGCAGCTCGTTCCCTCTCAGCAGGAGTCGCACCTTGGTGAGCTCGTTTGCCCACCTGTCCTTTATGGGCTGTTTCATGGCACACCTGGGAAGTTTCCTCTCCTAGCTCAGGGTTTTCTCTCGTGGTTTCTTGTGGAAGTTTTAGTTTAGCTCTGACCTGTGTGATGCACGCGTTGGCTTGGGGCGGGTGTCACTGGCAGCTGTGGTGCCTCCTCGGGAACCGGATCTGTGGTCTTGTGTGGACCTTTCTGTTCTGGTCGGTTTTTGCGTGTCTTTACGGTTGTGAAGTGGAGCTGTGTGAGCTGTCCTGCCCTTCCTGCCAGAGGGTGGGAGCCCCTTGGCCCTTGGCCTTTCTTACGAAGGTCAGAAGGGGCTTCCACTGCTGACAACCTGCAGGGTTTTGACGGTGGTGGCGCTGTTGGGGTTGGCGGTGTCTGGGTCGAGTGTCCCGCTCTCCATATACACCCCCCTCCTTCGGTTGGCACCTGGGCCTCACAGCACGTCCTTTCCTGCAGGGTGTCCGTGCCGCTGCTCAAGATGCTGGACCAGATGCTGGCCAACGGCTGCTTCGACGTCTTCACCGCCGAGGAGGAGTGAGTGTTTGTTTCTTCCCGCATCGGCTGCTCTGCCGCTTAAGCCTCGTGGGTCATCTTTAAAGAAACAGAGATCAGTTTTAGGGATAATTTCCTAGTGTGTTCAGGTCAGTTCCTACGTGCCCTGTAAAGGCCCCCGTGAGGCTGGTGGAGCAGCTGCGGGGGGAGCAGTGACGGGCCCGTGGCTGTCGCAGGGTCGAGCAGAGGCCAGCTGGGTTGAGGCACCGGCTGTGGCGTCTCCGGCCTCTGCTGGTTCCTCTCAGGTTTGCTTGGGGCTTTCCCTCTTCTCTGTTCTCTTGATGGCCACCCTGTCAGTCTAACTCTCAGTATTTCTCTTCCTGGACAATTCCAAGGCCTTGGAACACGATCAGTCATTGACATTTTTAGTTATTGTTTTTAGTATTTGTTAACCACAGTTTTGCTACATTTTTGTCCCTCATTGCTCCTGAAATCCCTATCTGCGGTTTTGTTCTTTCTGCCTAACGAACATTCTTCAGAATTTCTTCTAGTGAGGTCTGCTGGTAAATGCTTTCTCATTTTCATTTGAAGGGCTTTTCACAGAACTCTAGGCAGCTGTTTTATTCCAGGACTTAAAAAACGTATGGCTCAGTAGTTAGTGTCAGCCTTCACACAGAAGGCTCATTTCCTGGTCAAGGGCACATACCTGGGTTGCAGTTCAATCCCTGGCCCTGGTCCGGGTGGTCAGGGTGTGTATAGGAGGCAACCAACCAATCGGTGTTTCTCTCTCCCCACCCTCCTTCCTCCCACTCTCTTTCTCTCTCAAAAAAAAAAGTCAATGGGAAAAAATATATCAGGTGGGGATTAGCGTGTGCACATGCTTGTATGTGTGCGCGCGTGCGTACACACACACACACGCACACACACACACATATACACACATGTTTCCTTTATCCCGATGCCTCCTGTAACGGTCTCACCTCTCCGTCTCCAGGGCTGGGAGAGCCTTTTTCCTGCCGAGGGCCATGTGGATATCTATGACATCATTGTGAGCCATACAGAATTACCCACTGAACACGAGCCTGCTGTCTGCGGGCAGACATTTCGTTAACTCACCCCAGTGCCTTGGCAGGGCCAGACCAAAGGCTTTCTTGGACCGTACACGGCCCGGGCCAGGTGCTCCCCACCCCGCTCTGGACGACTGGGCCTTGGGAAGCAGGTTTCTCCTCTAATGGCACGTGTGTCTTCATGGGATTTGTTAAACTCAGCTCCGTGGTGCCATTGGTTTTCCTTTGTCCTAGGAAGGTCTTCGCTGTCCCATTTCTGGGCACTAGGGCTTCTCCCCCACCCCACCCTCAATCTCGGGGATCCCACTGTGCCTGCTGCGCCCCTGCACCGCAGCCGTTCCGGCCTTTGCGCCTTCGCTCGGGTCTGTCTCCACCTGCTGGTGTCCGAGACGGGCCGTCCCTGCCTCCGTGGTGTGCGCGGACCTGTTCTGGGTTATGTAGTTGTCAGTGTCTCCTTTCATCTGGTTTGTTTCCAAATCGGAAGGGTCCTTCTCTTCCCTGCAGTTCCTGCCAGGCTGCCCTCTCCCGTCCGCTTTCCTCGGTGTGGCTCTGGGCTGCAGTCCTCATGGGGCTTTCCGTGCAGGTTCGAGTTTTCCCATGTGTCTCATTACTTGTCTGGATGTGGCATCTGAAATGTCATGTGAAAGGCGCCCGAGGCCAGAGAAGACGAGCCTGCAGGCAGGACTCCGCTCCCCTTGCAGGCGCGAGAGGGCAGCAGCCAGTGGGAAGGGTCTCTGGACTGCCAGGTCCCCAGTGGCTGGCCGCCGCACCCGCTGCTGCCAGTTAAAGAGACCGGGCATCACTGCCGCACGCACGGCAGGACGGCTCCCGGCTGCTCACCCCGGGCCTGTGCTGTCCTTGCAGCCACCCCTTTTGTGTGAAGCTGCTGGAGCTTTGTAAGGCGGAAACCAGCAAGTCCAAGGACGTCCAGAAACTGCGGTCCAGCATCGCCGTGTGAGTCCGCAGGCTGATGTGGGCGGGCTCGGGAGGGAGTGGGAAGCCCGGAGGCCTGTGGAGTCCTGAGAACAAGAGGGAGCTGTGTCCCCGAGTGACCTTGGCCTGAGGGGAGTGAAGTGTCCCGACCCTGGAGATCTAGGCAGATCCGTTTAGTGGTCTAGATGCCGCGATCTGGATGCCACTGGTTTGTGGTGACTAAACCAGCGCCACCCTGAGGCCTGGGGTCAGCATGGCCCTGGCATCGGTGCCACCAGGGCGGTGGGCTGGGCGAGGCTGCTCACCGTGTTGCCGGCAGGTTCTGTGGGATGGCGCAGTTCCCCGGCGGCGTGCGGAGGAAGGTCCTGCTGCAGCTGCTGCTCCTGCTCTGCCACCCGTTCCCCGTGGTGAGTGCGTGTGACCAGCTGCCCACCTCGGGTTCCCGTGTTCTGCTCGCTGGTGCCGGTGTCGCGGGTGCTGGGGCGAGCGGCCTTACTCTGCTCCTGAGACGCAGCGGGGCCGGGAGGGGGCGTCCTCCACTGCGTGGACACTCAGGTCTCGGGAGCAGCAGCTTTCTTGGGGGAGGGTTCTGCCCTTGAGGGGCAGCAGGTTCCCTCAGTGAGGCCCTGCCCCCACATCTGTCCCAGACTATCCCCCCGGAGGCCTGGGCAGGGGTTCCTGGAAGCCCCGCACACCTGATGATGCCTTCCCCCAGAACTGCCCACTGCAGGGCCAGGCTTCCTAGAAGTTCTGCCTTTGGCTGGACGATGGCTCTCAGGGAACCGCTCATGGCCCTCTCCCGAGGGTGACGGGCGCCCGTGCCTCCCACAGCACCCATGGGAAAGGCAGCTCTCGGCCACCCGGCCTGCTGGCTTACACCTGGGGACTGGAGTCCCGGGCGTGGAGCCCGGCTCTGAAATGTCGCCAGAGGGGATCCTGGGGCAGAAGCAGGGTCCCTGAGGAGGGCAGGCCTTTCGGAGGCAGGTCGACAAGAACACGGCCAGCCCCACAGGGGGGCCTGGCTCTTCCCGATGACGGGCCCTCGTGCTGTCGTGGGATCGCGTGGGGTCACAGCCAGGTCTCCCTAAGTTAGGATCCGAGGTCAGCACGCCCTTCAGGCTTCAGTTGGACTCTGGGGTCCCCCTCCCACTAATGCTCTGCCCAACCAGATCCGCAAGACGACAGCCAGCCAGGTGTACGAGATGCTGCTCACCTACAGCGGCGTGGTGGGCGCGGACGTCCTGGACGAGGTCCTGGCTGTGCTCAGCGACACCGCCTGGTGAGTGCTCGGCTCCTGCCACCTCCCTTCCCGCCCCACAGTCTCTCCCCGAAGCCCCGAGGGAACGGGGATGGGAGAAGCGAGGCTCCCAGCCCTCGACGGCCGTGGCTCTGGGTTTGAGGTGGCGGTGGCGGCTTCTCCCTGCTTGTCCAGGGTTCTGCAGGTCAGGCCCCCCTCCTACCCAGAGGGCTGTGCCAGCCACACGCAGACCAGCAGGGCGCCTTCCGGCGGCTCCCGGCTGCTCAGGGGCGACGTTTCCAAAGTGCAGTTATTTTTCTCACACGTGCGAATTTTTAAAAAATCCTTATTGTTGAAAGTGTTACTATATATGTGCCCTGCCGTGCCCCCCCCCCCCCCCCCCCACCAAGTGCAATGTTTTTGTAAGTGAAATGGGCTGTTTTTGCTTCAGTGGGCGCGATGGACGCTGGTGCACCCAGGACTGCACGGGGACCGGGCTCCTGCCCAAGCTGGGTGCAGTGCCAGAGTGGTGGGGTGCAGCAGTGGGGTGCAGTGCCAGAGCAGTGGGGTGCAGTGCGGGAGCGGTGGGGTGCAGTGTGGGAGGCTCGTCCGGCAGGAGGATGTGCTGTGTGTCTGTGTGGCGTGGCTGCAGCGGGAGCTGCTGTGTGTAGACTCGCCTCAGTGTTGGACAGAGGGGGAAGGTTCCTCCCGATAATTTAATCCCTATCTGTTAAAAAAAAAAAATTCCCAGCCAGGCCAGCGTGGCTCAGTGGTTGAGCATCAACCTATAAACCAGGAGGTCACAGTTCGATTCCCGGTCAGGGCACATGTCCAGGTTGCAGGCTCAAGCCCCAGTGGGGAGTGTGCAGGAGACAGCTGATCCATGATTCTCTCTCATCACTGATGTTTCTATCACGTCTCCCTCTCCCTCTCTCTCTAAAAATCAATAAAAGCGTATTTTAAAAAATAGAAATGAGGTTTGTGGCAGGTTTGACTAAAGCGAGCGGGCCTTTCTTGCATCTGAAGCCAACCCATTCTCTCCCCACAGGGACTTGGAGCTCCTGCTCGTAAGAGGCCATCGGAACCGCCTGTGTGACCTCCTCGGGGTGCCCAGACCCCAGCTGGTCCCCAAGGTAACTGCACATCCCCCTCGGGCAGTGCCAGGGACATCCAACGGCTCCAGCGAGCCACTGCCCCGACCTCCAGCCTAGACAGCGGGGTCCTCCTGGCTTTCAGGACTCCTGGGGGGCAGCACCCACTGGCAGTGCCCCCAGGGAGCCTGGTGCAGATGCAGGGCGGTGCTGACTGCCAGCCCCCAGGGGACCCAGGGCAGGGGGTGCAGGAGGAGCATTGTGATGCTCCCGGCTCCTCGTGTCCAGGCCACATAGTATCAGCTTCCCAAGGAAATGGCCTTTTTGTTTTTATTAGGGAAATTTTGCACTCAGATGGGAGAACAGGTGTCAGCTCCTGGGACGTCTCGGGGAAAGGCCCAAAGGCAGTTTCCTGTGGGAAGCAGGCCCAGGGTGGGCGGGCGATGGTGCTGGCCGCCCTGACTGACCCTGTCGTGTGCTCTGCAGCCTGCTGTCGGCTGAGGCCGGTCCTGGAAGCTGAGTAGTGCTTGTGCCGTCTGCGGGGAGGAGCAGCCAGATGCCGCTCAGGATAGGAATCCTGGTGCAGAACCGGCCGTCCTGGAACGTGTGTGTGGAGTCCGTCACCACGGAGGCTCTTTATCACGGGCGTCCGCGCTCTAGTGACCCCATGTCTGTGCTTTAGTCTGTTTAAACGCGAGTCCACGTCTTATAAAACCACAAGCTGAGCACTCTGCGTCTGTGTCTGATGCTGTTGTGAGCGAGGGTGAATGGGGGGACAGCCTATGCGGGGCGTAACCTGGAGGCCAGAGCGAGTCCTAGGCTCCCTTGTGCTCTACCCCCTCTCCCCCCCGAGTCTAGGTGAGGGGTTTGGAGGGAAGCTCCAGGTGCTCACAACCCACCCTGTAGCCAGAAGCAGGCAAGAGCAAGTGATCACACGAGTGCACTGAGGGCTGGGAAGGAAGGGAAGCTGGGACCCTCTACAGGAGGCGGAATGACCAGGAAGGCACGGCCAGAGCATCCGTCTCAGGCTCCACCTGGTGCTGGGGTGGAGGAAGGAACGCTCTCCTGGCCACCCACAGCTCGAACACGGAGCTCCAGACAAGGGACAGACGAGCAAAATCCCCTACCCCTCTGGCTGGTCCCCACAGAGAGGATTAAAACGTAAGCTCACATTCCAGAAATTTTTAGAATCAAACCCCAAAAGATACGAAATATAAAGTGAGTTTACTGAGAAGAGCTTCAAGACAAAATGCTCAACGGGTTAAACCACCACATGGACACCGCTGAGGAGAGCGAGGACGGGAAGACCTGCAGACTGTCGGAGGAACAGGTGGGAAGCATGTCGGCAAAGTCGGGAGAAGGGACCTGTGTGTCCCAGGATCCGGAGTGCGGACCATGCAGGCGCCCACACTTGGGAGGCAGCCGTCCTCGACGCAGAAGCCCTGCGTCCACCCCGACGGGCTCGCCCCTGGGTGCACGGCACCGTAGTGCGAACTGCTGTGCACACAGCGGTGCCCTGCTGCCCGAATCCTGGCAGCCGTGGAGTCAAGAGGCTGGACACGCTCGCTCTCGTGCTGAGGACACGACTCCACGTGGCAGAAATGAGCGCCTAACGGATTCAAGCGCGAGAACAAAGTCAGCCGTCGGTAGGGCGGGCTCTCCAGCCTGTGCTGGTTTTCCAGTCTTGGCATAGACATCGGGGGCTGATGGCTCTTCGTTGTGGGGACAGTCCTGTGTGCTGCAAGGAGAACTCCAAACCCCTGAACAGCAAACCCCTTTCCAGGTGTGACAGACTCCTGTGGACAGACAGCAGCAGCAGGTAAGGTCTCAGGCGAGGAGGAATGCGGCACCAGGAGGCACCACATTTAGGGAAAAGTTCTTTGGGATTTGTTTTCCTGGCCTGGGTGGGGCTAATGGGAGGAGTGGAGTCCTAGGACTGCGAGGCTGAACACGCAGCCATACAACCTCAGCTCCTGCCCAGTGCCTACAGCAACCAGTCCATTCCAGGAGTGGGCAGGAGCTACCAGCCTCCCTAATTCTTGCTCCATTTCCAACTGTGCTCCCCTCCCACCACAGCCCCTGGCAGGCCCCTGAGCTCCTTGCCCTCTGCTGCCCAATGCCCTGCCACCAAGCGCTGAGCACAGCCGTTTTCATGGGGTGGTCTGTTTACTTCCACTCGTCTCCTGAGGTCAAGTGCAGTAGCTGCACCCCAGGGTGCTCACCTTGACAGATGAGCTCACATACACCCAGACCAGCCCAGATGGCAGTGCCCACACGCAGGCACTCCAGGTGGTGACCATTCTCAGAAGACATAGTGTGTGCTCTAAAAAAAAAATTACTAAAAAAACAAAAGTACATCTTAAAAAAAAAAAATCACTAAAAAACATGTACAGCTCTTAAAAAAAAATAATTACTAAGACACAGTGTGTGGGCACGGGTCAGGTGCCTGGTGAAGGTGTGGATTCTACCCAATCAGAACATCACCTGCCCCTCTGCCCCACGGCCAGGTGAAGGTCTCCCACCCGGTCTGCTACTCCCATCTGCGGGTTCCACATGGCCACGTGGCTGTCCTTCCCGACTGCCCCCAACCCCAGTCACCTGCAGGACTAGCTGCAGCTGTGGGCCTGTCAGCTGAAGTGGAGGAAGTCCCGGCCCTCCTGCAGGTGCAGCGACCTCAGGTTGTCCTCAAATGCACCTCCAGTAAGGTCCTGTGGGAGGGAATGGTAAGTCATGCCCTGCGCGGAATCGGCCTGGCGGTGCCCACGTGCTCCTCCTCCTGCTGTTACTACTGGGCGCTGCTACAGGTATTTAAATAAAAACCACTCTGACTCATCACTGATGTTCTAGCTCTCTCTGAAATCAATACAAATATATTTTAAAAACAAATGAAATCCACTCCCCTCGAAAAACACCAGCAACTTCCAAATTCTGTCCTTCACTTGCTGTCCATGCTCAAACCCCCTCTTCTGTTCTGTTCCCGCGCTGCTCCTGAGATGTTATAGGAAAACTGGGCTCCGCCTGGTGTGTGGCCCAGGGGTCATGGGCAAGGCTGACAGCCCTGGGCATGCAGAGGGGCCAATGGGAAGGAAGGTCTGCTCCTGACGGGAAGGCCTCCTGAACAAGACGCCAGTGCAGTTGGACGCTTCCATCAATTGACATAGCCCATTAAGAGCATGAAAAGGCCAGCATGGCTCAGTGCTTGAGCATTGACCTATGAACCAAGAGATCAAGGAACTAGCTCTGGGCATCCTCTGGTCTGGCCACTTGTGGGCACCGTCTAGCGACGTGGGTGACACGGCACTCCCAGCACTCAGCCTGCAGGGACGGTAAATGGGCATCAAGGATGCTCGCCCAGCACAGGCTGGGAACCAGCTTCTAAAGGCTGAGCCGTGTCCCCATGTGACACAGACCAGGGCATATGTACCGAGATTGCCCTGTAGAGGGAAGCTGTGACCCAGCCCCACCCAGAGTGCCGATCCAGGGCGTGTCCCAGCCCCATGTGCCCACAGCCCAGCACTCACCAGCTTCACGCAGATGACGAAGGGTGGGCGGGCGGCTCGGAAGTGCAGGATGGGCACCCGGGGCTTGGGCCTTTCCTGAGAGACGAGGGCGTGGGCGTTGCTCCTTCTGCCACCTGAGCCCCATACCACTCCCGACGCACAGCGCAGGTTAGACCCGGGACCCACCAGGACCCACCCACCCCTGCCACAGCCACCTCAGAGTCGCCACAGAACCCATCCAGGTGGGCGATGGGAGACCTGGACCTGTGAGCAGGGCTCCCCAGTGAAAAGATGGGGTGGGCACAGGTCACTCTGGGGTCCCAATCCCTCAAGAGTCAGGGCTGTGTCTGGCAGCCGCCTGGGCCCAGGTGGCCTGTCCAGGATGGCGTTCTAGAGGTGAGCCAGGTGTGGTGTGCCTACCCGTGCAGGACCCAGCCCCCAGCCCAGGGCACCAGGGGCCTCCACACCTGAGAGTCCTCGTAGCAGTAAAAGCCCTTCTTGATCTTGTTCTCGTCTACGTCACAAAAGGCAACCACCTGGGGAGGACACAAAACGCCAGCCTTGGACAGTGCTGCCGGGGGTGGGGAGGGCGCAGGGGATGGGGGTACCAAGCGACGGGGGCGCCCACCTTGTGCCGCGACTCTGCTGTAAGGCTGCGGTAGAGCCGGCGGCCCTGCTTGCCGGCATTCCAGATGGTGAAGGTTGCCCAGTGTGGCAAAGCCCGCTCTTCCAGGAAGCGGACACGATGGGTCCAGATGGTAGTCCTGTGGAGGGAGGCTGTGACCCTTCCAGCTCCACCCAGCCTGCCAGGCCCCTTGGTACATATGCCCTGTTCTGCGTCACCTGGGGCAGTGGCTTGGGCGTTCAAGGAGTTACATAGTGCTGACTCCCTAATCCTAGCCACTTAGCACCTCATTTCAGAAAGAAATGCACAAACTACACACACTCCAAGCCAATTATACAGGCCTGGCCACACAACACGCAGCTTTGCCAACATCCAAGAAAATGGAAGAGTCCGGCTGACCTGGTTCACTGGTTGTCGGCCTATGGACCAGGAGGCCAGGGTTCGATTCCCAGTCAGGGCACATGCCCAGGTTGTGGGCTCGATCCCCAGAGAGGGGCATGCAGGAGGCAGCTGATCAATGATCCTCTTTCACCACTGACGTTTCTCTCCCTTCCTCTCTGAAATCAATAAATATATACTTTTTAAAAAAATGAAGTTTCTAAGAACAGAACAGTGGACCTCATGCAAGTGAATTCTAGAGAATGTGCGGTGTCCTGAGCAAGAAGTCACTTTTAACACTTTTCCTCTTTCAAGTCAGGAATGCGGGTGAGACAGACAGCTCAGTGTCAGGAGGCACTGAGTGGGGCCCTTGATCCTGCGTGTCTGGGTTGGGCAGAAACAGAAGGTGCCCTGGCGTCCCTGCTAGTCGGGGGCACTCCGGCTTTTGTCTTCCCCACCGTGGGCGAGCAGGTGAGATGGGGCTGCAGACACGGGGCCTCGACACTTCTGGGACTTGAATGGTTTCTTTCTAACCAGCTCGTTTTCTCCCATTTGTGGTACATGCTGAATGAGATGCCCACCAGAATGCCCACAGTTTCGTGGACGTTTACAAGGATATGAAATGGCTCAGACCAGGTCTCTGAGCAGCTCAGTGCTGCCAACCAGACACGGCTGAGAGCCGTGGGGATCAGGTGTTGTAAGCCCGCAAGGGACGGCACCAGCCCTAGGGCCGGCAGGAAGGCTGCCCTGAGGGTGGGACAGAGCCAAATGGCTCAGAGAAAGACGGGCATTAAACGACCTCCTCGTGTCTCTGGAATCGTCTTAGGATCTGTCTCAAAGTACCACACGGGGTGAGCTGACAAGATTGAGACTCTGCCATGGACACACGTCCTGCCCTGGGCCCATTCCTCTTCCAGAGCTGTTTTCACACTCCTGCCCTTCCCACCCTGCCTGCTGGGGGCCAGTGTCCTCACCTGAGGGCGGGCAGTGCAGGGCCAGTGCACTTTCCCCAAACCCGCAGATGAGCACTTCCAGAACTTTCTGGAAAGGAAAGGAAGTGTCATGGCCAGCCTGCCCTGGGCACAGCAGGCCCAAGTCAATGGGAGGCAGAGATGCCGAGGGGACAAGAGCTCCGAAAAAACGAGCAGAATGCTACCATTTATGTAACATCTCAAAGCAGTTAAGGGTATTGCATAGAGAGAAATCAGTGAAAACCGTTAAATGGTATAAGTGCTGACCATTCTGAATTTAAAATAAAAAGGACCAGAACTGGCGCCCACTCAAAAAAGAGCTTTTGGGGAGAGAGTCTGAAGGAATCCAGCTCTTGACAAACCTCAGGGCATAATTAAGCCCATTACTCTGGGAGGTTTCCCACTCACAGCGCAAAGACTTTAATCCGTACAGAAACTAACATGAGCTCACTTCTTTCGTGTTGTGGGTGGCAAAGCCTCTTGCTGCAAAATGGGGGTTGGGGGAGGGGGAGGTCCCAAAATAAAAGTCAAGTATGGCACGCCAACAGGACGAGGACGTGTGTGGCACAGCACTGCGGCCTGGCCCCACCCCAAGCAGCAGCCACACCTTGGGCTGTGGTCACTGCCAGATGTTTTTAAATTTTAAAGAAGTATAACTTACACAGTCAAGTGCATGGACCTTAAGTGGTATTTTTTCTTTCTGAAATCGGTTAGAATATATCAGTAAACCCATTTAGCTTGATTTTCCCTTATGGAAAGTTTCAAAATTACAAATCTAATTAAAAAAATATTTTATTGGTTTTTGTACAGAAAGGGAGATAGAAACATCAATGAGAGAGTGTCATCGATCAGCTGCCTCTTGCACACCCCCTACTGGGGATATGCCCGCAACCAAGGTACATGCCCTTGACCGGAATCGAACCCGGGGCCCTTCAGTCCCCAAGCCGACGCTCTATCCATTGAGCCAAACTGGTCCCGGCTACAGATCTAATTTTTAATTATTACACTTTAAATATCTCTTGGGTCTATAATGATGTCTCCTCCTTCATTCCAAATATATTGGTAACCTATACTTTCTCTTAAAAATCACCCTTGCTAGAGATATGTCAATTTTATTGACTTTTTTTTGGGATTGATTGTCTTTTTAGTTTTGTTTTTTAAATTGATTTTTAGGGAGAAGGGAGAAACATCTAAGTGAGCGAGAAGCAGCGTGCCCCAACTGGGAATCAAACCACCACCCTTTGGTGTAGGTACAATGCACCAACCAACCGAGCCACAAGGGGCAAGGCTGTGCACTTAAATTTCACTTTCCTTCTCTGTTCATTTCTCTTTTCCTGTTGACTTTGAGTTTACTTTGCTATTACGTAAGTTTTAAAGGTGGAGACTCAAATGATTGCTTAGTATCTTATAAGCTTTAAAAACCATAAAACGTTACAAAAAACTCTGCTTTAGTTAAATACCACAAATATTTTAATTTTCCATCAAATTGAAAATTTTGTGATTTCCTTTGCGATTTTTTCCCCTTGATTGCTCAATTTCCAAGTATTTTGGCTTTTCAAAATGGCTTGATAATTTCTAATTTAATTCTGTGTGAATATGAAACAGATCCTGCATGATTTCAATTTGAAATTTATCCACATTTGCTTATTTATCCAAAGCATTGCCTGTCCTGCCCTTTGGAAGATGCACACTCTGCAGCAGGGTGTCGTGCTCCCCCTGGAACTAGCAGGTTGGGTCCAGCTGGCTGATAGAGCTGCTCGTCTTCGGCCTCCAGACAGACGCCCCATTTCTACCCGTGACTGAGACAGGGTCAGAAACTCCCGCTCTCTGTGGGTGTCTGCTTCTTCCTGGAGATCGGTGAGGTTCTGCTTTGTGCAGTCTGAAGCTGTGACTAGGGAGATCATACCAGGGCTCTGCCCTAAGAGGGTGCAAATCACACCTGCACTGGGTCAGGTTCAAGCCCAACGGTGCGTCCCTGAAGCTACGGTGTCAAACGCAGATGTCACCAGGAGGAGGGTCAGGGCCTGCCAGCTGTGCGTTCTCCCATTGGGCAGCGCCTCCAGTCAATGCGGAACCCACACACAACACGCAAAGTTGGCATCGCGCCTGCGTGGCCGTGATGTGGTGCCCGTGACCTCAGTGTAAGTGGACACCACACCTCCCAGGTCAGAGTCCCAGCAAGAAGCCACTGTCTGACGGGTCCCACACCCTCCAGGGGAAGGACAGCGGCTCGACTTTCAGAAACGTGAGTGCGGGTCCCTGCCTCACGCTCTTGGTGTGGAGGACCCCTGACGACTGACCTGTCGAGTCCCCAAAAGCGAGATGACAGTGAGGAACCAAGGGACACACCTTGCCATGCGAGGAAATGTGACACACAAGCATGTAAGTGACAGACAGAACAGAGTTCGACCTAAAGAGACACACTCCTCCTCCTTCCACCACCGGGGCCTGCACCCCTCACGCCGGTCCGCCCGTCCCTGCAGCCGGCCTCCCTCGCTCTCTGGTGCAGAGGCTCAGGCGGCCTTGGAGCTGGGGGGCGTGGACTGTGCCTGAAGGGGGAGGAGGAGGGGAGGGGCTGCTCCCCGTGATGCCCAAGCAGGGGTGTGGCTCAACCACTGCCCACCGAAGCCTCCCCTCGGTTGAGGTGAAGGGAGGGAGCCCTAGCCCCCTGCAGCCAGGGCAGTGTGCAAGGCCCACTTCGTGCGCGTGAATCCGCCTCGGCTCGCCTCACACTGGACTCTGGGCCGCAGCCAGCCGGGTTCACAGCGCCCGCCCGCCCGCGGGCCGCGTACTCGAGCACGCAGTGCGTGGCGGCGCCCGGGTGGTAGCGGTAGAGGAGCAGGCTCTGGTCCAGCCGGCGGACGTCACCGCCCTGGCGGAGGTGGTTGTAGAAGAGCAGCAGGTCCTCGGGCACGCCCTGCGGAGAGGCACTGCTCACAGCACTGTCCGTGCCCCGCCCCCCACATCCGGTCCTCAGGCCGCGAGGCGGGAGGCTGCAGGGCTGCGGGCACTCGGCCCACCTGGGTCCCCGAGGCCACGGCCTGCTGACGACACGCCCAGCCGCCCCAGCCCGAGGCATCGCCGGGCAAGAGTGACCACAGGAAGCTCTTTAAAGCGAGGAGGAGTGAGGGGAGGAGTGTGGCAGCCTGGCCAGGGGGACAGACACCCCACCTCCCCGCCACACGTCTCCCAGCTGACCCTCAGTCCTTTGGGGCAGGCACTGGGCTCTGACACATTCTCCTGTCTTGTGAGGCAGGTCCACCTCCCGAGTCTGGGCATGCCTGGGAAGGGGCACCCCTCCATCCGCCCGCCGGGCCTGTGCCCCCTGCAGGCCAGCCTAGGGCTGCACACCTCCGTGCTGACCAGGGGGCCGGGTGGGCTCCCTCCCTTTCTAAGTTCCAAAGGGGAAACTGAGATCATCCACGGGGTCAGAGGTCAGCATCCTCTCTGGGTGGTGCCTGTGGGGCCCGTGGCAGAGCATGAGCTCCTCCCTCGTGTGAATTTGGGAGAAACAGCAGTGTGGACCGTGCCCGACGCCCTGGAACTGAGACTGGCTTGCCTCCAGGAGACAGGCCCGGTGATCCGCGTGCCACCAGACATGGCGGGGCCCCGGCAGAGGGAGCGCAGCGGGCTGGTCCTGGGCCCCAGCAGGCATGGCAGGGGCTGGGCTACATCCCGGGCAGCACTGCTGGGCAGCCCCAGGGCCCTGGCTTTTAGACCTGGCAGCCCTGACCCTGCGGAGCATGGCTGTGACTGTGAGAGACTACCCAGTGACCGGAGGAGGGTCGAAGGTCAGGGGTGAGGGGAACGGGAAGGGGGGATTGCTGGGGAAAGGCAGAGGGATGCTGGGCAGGACCAGGGAGGGGCAGTCCCCTGGTCCCCATCAGTCAGTAAACTGTCAGCCCAGAGCCAGGACTGTGGCCAAGGTTCCAGGGCAGGTGGTGGAGTCTGGCCTGAGTCACAGTCTCCAGACCCCAGGAACCCTGTTCCCAGAACCCCTGCCAGTCCTACACCCATCCCTCCCCCCTCCAGTGTGGCTGCCTCCCACAGGACTGCCTCCTCCCCACCACCCACATCCCAGCTTCCCACAACAGGATGAGGTAACCGGGGCCTGGGCCAGGGCAGGTGTGACACCCTCAGCCTCACACAGAAATCCCTTGCTTGTGGCAAAACAAACACGGTGCCGGGCCCCAGCTGCCCCTGGAGCTCAGTAGAGCAGCAGAGTGCTGGGGCTGTCTCAGAGGCGCCTCCCTGACCCCTGATCCCCGGACTAGGTCGTGGTGCCTACAAGCGGCGGGGGGAAGGGGGGGGCCCAAGTCTGGGGAATGACAGCACCAACCCCAACCCCAGAGGGACTCCACGGGGGTCCCACTTACCTGCCCGCCCTCGTCGAACGGGCCCACGTGAGAAAACCATGCTCGCGAGCAGAACCAGGTGGGCATGATCACAGTTGGGCCATTGGAGGTGAAGACCTAGAACAGTTAACACGGGCAGTGTCACAGCGCCTGCACTTCAGCCCCCACTGGCTTCAGGGGGGACAGACTGCTCTGCACGTCCCTCCTCTGCAGGGGCGGGAGCCGGGCCCCAGCCCACCCCAGGTTCTGCTCCCGGAGATGCTCAGTGTGTGTAAGGAGCCTCCCCTGTGTCGAACCAATGGTATCGCTTGTCCGAGTATCACAGGAAACAGGTGAAATAGCGTAAAAGGAGAGATGACAGGAGTTTAGATGAAATGGACAAATTCCTAGAAAGACAAACCATCAAAGGAACTCGAGGAAACAAAAAATCTACGTAAATCGGTTCGAGTAAGAGCCCGGACAGATGTGCCTACGCTGGGTCCTGCTGAGGCTGCCTGCGAGTCCTCCTCGCTGGCCCTCCAGGGCACACATTTTCAGAGAAAAGGAAGAGGATTCGGGGGCGGAGCCCAGGTCCCTGCACACGCCGTGGCCCTTATACAGGAGGCTTGCTGGGCTCTGCTTTCATCTCCAAACCCATCTCTGCAGCTTCCCACGGAGGGAGGAAGGGGCGCGGGAGGGGAGGGGGGTTTTCTGAGGGTGCACACAGCGGGATGAGAGCGACCGCAGTCTCCCACATCTACAGCTCCACAGTCCATCTCCAGATCTCACTTAATCGCCCGGAGCACAGCACTGTAATTTCTCAGGGCTGCTTCTTCCCAGGCCTTTCTTACAGCAGCATATTCTCTCGGTCTCAATGACCCCCACTCCCAATCCTACCTGCACAAGACAGAACAGTTTCCAAAGCATTTTGTAATGTTTTCCTCAAACAAAAGAAGAGCAGAGAACAAAGAGGGAGCTTCTGTCTCAGACATTTCTCGACCTCCTGCCTCCTTTCAAGCTTCCAGGGGGGATGCCAGAGCCCAGGGCTGTCTCTCTGCTCCTCGCTGGCCCCTTTCCCACGGACGGGCACCCATGTCCAGGTCCAGCACCACCCGACACAAGCTCGCCTCCACACCTGACGTTCTCTTAAGGGTGACGGGAGCGAAAGAATAACAATGGAACAAAAAAGCAAAGAAAGCACTTTGGGAGGTGAGCTCGTTCAGTTCCGTCAGAGGACAAACTGGCCACCCCGGTGGCTTCTTTCAAGCTTTTGTGTTGTGTTTCAGGAGGTTCGCTGCTTGTCCAGCTCCTGCCTCCCAGCAGGCGTTACTTCCAGCTGCCCCCTTGCACCCAGAGGAGCCAGCTCTGCCGCAGCCAGGCCTGCGCAGCCGGAATGAGAGACAAACCCAGACCGAGACCTCCCCACTTACTTCAGGAGTCCTGCAGCCATAGCCCTGACCGGACCGCTGACTCCGCTGCTGCTTTCCTCACCCAAAGGCATTTTTCCATTGATTTTCACAGAGTGGACACCAATAAAATTTTATGTACAAGGCAGGCAGAACAACCTGCCAACCATGGGTCTACCTGGTAAGGGGTGGGCCTTTGGCTTCCATTTGAATGAAAACTGACTACTGAGCCTGGAACAGGCCAGCGCCCCCCTCCTGACTCCCCCACTGCTGGAGTCTGTGGGTAAATGAGGTGCAGAAATAGCCCCAGAATCTCAGGATTCTTGGAACCCAAATGAAACAGGACCAAGAGGCATAAATGCTTTTTACATTGCTTGTTTCCATTCTTTCATGTTTAGGGAAATAATGGGAAACCTGATGCTCAGATGACGACTCAGGACTCGAGCTCCACGCAGGCCCAGCAGAGGGCACTCTCGGCTGCGAGGAGGAACGGGAGAAGTGGCCTGTTGGAAGTTCAGTGTCAAAACCAGGTAACCCCAGGCCCCAGGCCAATCACAGGGGGCACAAGGCCCAGCCAACAGCTCCCTTTTCCTGGGTCAGCTTCCCCCTTGGTGGAGAGCCGGGCAGTGGGCTTCACTTCGGGCTGCCCCCCGACTTGTCACCAAAGCCACACCTTTCCCTCCCGTGAGACTGTTGGGACTTTCTAATCCTTCTCATTGATTTGGCCTCCTCTTCTCCCTCAAGCTGTCACTCCGTTTGTGTCACGACCTAAAAAATCAGATGCTCCAGATTCTTAGAACGTGGCCAACAAGGGCTCCCAAGCGAGGCCTGGGCCCAGGCGCGTTCTGGGAACCCGGAGTTTGGGCTCCCCATGGTTTATGCCAACAGAAGGTGCACTTCGCAAAAGTGAACTGTGTGTAGCCCTCAAACCTTAAAAGTCTACCCAAGATGTGTCAGATGCAGAGCAAACGGGAACAAGCTCCCTATGCCGCCGGCTAACTGGCCAGGCCGAGGAAGGCACAGGAGGACGCGGCAGACACGGGAACTGCTTTCAGGAGGAGAAAGCACGGCTGCAGGCTGCACACATGCTTGCTGTTTATTCACAAAGGAGCAGCCTGGAGTCAGAGGTGCGAGCAGAGAAATTCACAGGCCTCATTAGCTGTCTCTGCAGGAAGTGATATGGTTCTTCCAGTTTACATGACTCATTTCCAGATTTCGGGGGCTTATTATCCTTATTTCTAAATGCTCATTTGTTGGAAGACTATCTTTAGATAGATAACAAGTTCTCCAGATTTCTGACATTTAACACCCACATAGCAACAAGGATAAACTTTGATGTGAAATCCAAACCCTATGGCTTCTGGACTTAGTGAAGGCACGGCCATTGGAGCACGCTTCCTTTCTCAGCAGCGTTTGGGGAAGCTGGAAGCACTCTGTTGCACCAGGTTCGTGTGGACCTGCACCACACACTCCGCCTATGACACTCGCGTGGACAGAGCAAAGACAACGGCACAGCTGCACCATGTCAGAGCACGTCAGGGTTTAAATCATAAATGCCAATGGGTTAGAATTAGGTAAAAACCACTGAGCTCCAAGGAGACACTTTTTAGGAAAAGACACATGGAGATCAAAGAAGAGTGAGATGTCCTGGTTTCACATGAAACAGCGAGTTCCAGCCATCGTGCTATGGACACTGCCAGACTGTGGGACCGACTGCGGGATGTCAGCCAATGCACGCTGCAAGGTGCCATAGAGCAGTTGGCCTGAGGCTCTGTGTGTTGTGCTTAAACCCTTGCATTTTACGGAAGTAACACAGAGCCACAGAGTTCACCCAGCTGATGGAAGGCCTGGGGCCTCAAGGGCGGCAACCCGGCCCACGGCACCCGCTCCATTCTGATTGGCAATGCCCAACGGGATGGAGACACCAGTGCCCTCTCAGCAGGCCCCCTACTGACGGACCTGCCTTGTGGCCTCAGCCCTTGACCTCAGGTCCAGGACATCGGAGAGACCTTCCAGGGCCAGCCTGTCTCCCCACCATCACCGCTGCTGACCCCAAGGTGAACTGGCCTCTCGCCTCCACCCTGTTGGCACCGTGCCCCTAAAGAGCATCCTCTCAAACTCCCCTTCTCTCCTGGGTCCTCCTCGGCAGCTGATCACCGTGGCCAGCACGTTCGTCAGGCAGTCTGGGCCAGGTGACCAGTCCTGATGAGGTGAAGCACCGGGCCCAGAGCCCTAGGAAAGCCCCAGGCGGAGTCTGAGCCCAGCCTGGCCCACGTGGGCTGGGAGCCTTCGTGGTGGAGCTGCCCTGCCGTCTGCAAGGACGTGCAGCCAGGTCGAGGAGCATGAGGGTGTCTAGGCTGTAACCTGGAGCCCACGTGGCAGCCCTAACCCCCAAGGGGACTGTACGTAGCAGGTGACAGTAAGGTAGGGCCCCGTCCCAAGGTGTTCTCACAGAAGAGGAAAGGTGCTGGAGTGAGCAGAGGGGACGATGTGGCCTGTGAACATGGAAGGACCCACTTGGTGGCACTCGCCTGATGAAATTCTGGATTTCTGTAACTAACGGCTGAGAAATGACTTCAGAAATACTTCTTCAATTTATCTTGAGACACTTAAGACTCTAAGCTCCTAGCCTGCTAAAGACGACACCACGATGAGCACTAGACACCACTGTTTCTATGGTGCTGGATAGGGAAGGCTTCCTGTTAGTCCTCAGCCCAGACCTGTATTTCTGGCTGAGAAGGTGCCTGCTGCCTTTACATCACACCCTCTGTGCTTAGTTACAGTTTTCGCCCGAGCCTCGTTCTACCAGAAAATCAAACAGGTCAGAAGTCCGACTTGGCAGCTTCATCCCTGAGTGACCTGCCAGCCCACCTGCTCTGTGAGTGCCGGAAGACCACAGACCTGGCGGCTCTTTCAGGTCTCCTGTGCTCCTTTGTTCAGAAAAACAGAACAAGAACCGTGTGTGCATGTCCTGAGGGTGCGAGCACCACGGGCCCATGGGCCCGTGTGCCCGCAGTCCTCCCCCCTCTCGGCAGAGAGAGGGCCAGGGCGCTGGTGCTGGCACCAAGGCACGCTCCCATCACCGTGACTCAGAGAGGAGCACTAATCTGAGGAGGAAATTATCATACAGTCATCCCTTTCACCAAGTGGCAAAATTTAGTTTAGAAAAAGAGCATTTTTCACATGGCAGGGTCACTGGAACCGCTGTGTGAGCTACATGTTAGCATCGGCCCCACCACACGGGCAGGGGTATCTTTCCAGGCTCCTGGAGCCACGTCCTGGGGGTGGGGTGGCTGCCCTCTCCCGTCAGCCTACCCCGGTGGCCCCACACCCCTCTCGGGTGGTTTCCAGTTTGATTTCAACTCAGGCCTCTGCAGCTCACAGCAAGCTCTGACCCCCTGCAGGGCAGCCCCACCCAGATGCTGCACCTCAGCTTCCAGCCCCAGTCCCCGCAGTGTGTCCATCTGACAGCACCCTCCAACTGCCTAAAGCTTGGCCCTGCCCAGCCACACCCCTGCGCTCCATCCAGTCCCCCTCTGGGCTGCTCTGCCAAGCTCCCAGGCTCCTGCCCTCTGGCTCCTCTGAAATGCTCCCCCTTCCCCAGTAAGCGCTGGCACACCCTGGGGGTGGGCAAACAGGTGCTAATGGTGAAGGAGCCCGGCTCCCACCATAAGCGACGTGCTCTCCAGGGTGTGCGGCCCGCTCCCGGCCTCGGCAGCAAGTACCTGAGTGAGCAGCTGCTCAGGCGACAGCTGGTTGATCCAGCGCGTGTACCGCTCCGTGGAGTTAGGGGGCTCTCTCCTCACTTGGCAGCCTATGATCTGTGAAGCGGAAGAGAGCCTCTGAGTTCCTGGGTACACACACCTGTGTCTACCTCTCACCTGGCACCAGCTGGCACCTCTGGGCTGAGTTAGGGGGAGCTTCTGGGAACAAGGGAGGAGGGACTCAGGTTCTGGGGACAGACCCTGCTGCTCTGCCCACAGCCCTGTGCGCGCGAGGCGCCTGTGTCCTCCCGGGTGATGGCACACAGGGGCCGCACACAGGATGTCCCCCTCTGCGAGGCTTCTGGCTCCAGGGCAGAGGCCGTGTGCTCACTACAAGGCCTGCGCTGACTCCTCTGCAGCCGGTGATGGCGCTGTCCTCGCTCCTGCTCCATGTGGAGCTGCAAAGACAGAGGTGCCCAGCATCCCCCTCGAGGCAGGTTGTTCTGCTGCCTGTTTATACATAAAGTTTTATTGGTGCACTGAGCATGTGAGGGGGGAGCAGGATGTTCACGAGCTTGTTGCTCGTCCTGAGCTCCTTGGGAACTCGCTGACCTCGGAAACGTCCCAGGAAGGGTCCATCTGTCCCCAAAGCCGTCCACACAGGCGGGAAATGCTCAGGATGCTGCCCTCCTTGGCACCGGGCCCCTGCACCCCTGCTCTGGCCCCAGTGATCTCTGCTCGGGAAGGTCCAGGACGGCTGGACAAGTGCCACAGTGGGCGTCAGACTGTGCAGCACCACTGGTGGAAGCCGCCACAGGGCCTTGTCTTCACAGTGAAGTGGTTTTCTTGTAACCAGCTTTCAGAAAACAGTGGCCAAGGGCAAACATACACTTAGCATTCATTTCATTCTTTCCGAACTAAATATATGACAGAGTCGACAAAACCACCAATCAGCAGCTGCAAATTAAGATTTTTTAGGTCATTATTAAAAAAAAAAATCCAACCCCACAGGGACGAGCTCTCTGAAGCTGCTTTGTTCTGATGCAGCCAGTTGGTGAGGACATCCCTGTCTCCTCTGAGAACCTGCAAGGCAGGCGCTGGCCCCACAGAGAGGCACCAGCTGCTGGCCGGGAGCATTCGCAGGAGGAGGCAGAGTTCCTCCCGAGCGTGAACCTGAAAAGGCGAGCACGAAAAGCTTAACCTTGAACTTTGTAAAAAAGCAGACCAGGGTAGTTTAAGAGCATGAGGAACAGACGCAGTCTGCCTTTTTCTAAATTCCTTGCGTGTCCCTAGACATCGTGGTTCATCTGAGTCTTGCCTGCAGGGCTGTGCAAAATAATTTCACGTTTGATTGTTTTCAGTATGAGAATGAAAAAGGCAGACAGTATCTGAAAGCAGCTTGCTCTCAAGAGCACCCACGCGGATGCCAGGGCCTGTAGCCGCTTCCACGTGGGCCAGCTTCAATGCTAGGGACGCTGTGTGGCAGTCACTCAGAAGGAAGACACGGCATCCCATGAAGACGGCTCACCCTGCTGCTCAAACACAGCGCCCTCCTCGCGGGGCGGGGCGGGGCCGTGCCTGTGCCTGTGCCTGTGGCAGGGCCACCCGGTCAGCATGGACGGGCAGAAGCAGTGAGCTTGGCTGTCAGTGCAATTTAAACTCTGGAAAAGCTGGGCTGCTCCTCTGGAGTCGTGCCACCTGCCAACCCGTCACACCTGTCTGACCAGAGAAACGTCTGCACCCCTGCCCCACACTGCCCTGTAGACAACCTGTGAGCAGAAGTCCATCCAGGTCTTCTTCCCACTCCTCTTCCTCTTCCCAGCAAAGGAGCGAGACCACAGCCTCTTGCTGTGCATCTGCTCTCTCCTTTCACGTCACTGGGAAATCTCGCCAACATTGCTGGAGGTCAGCCTACTGACCCCACGGAGGAACCCAATGATGCCTGATGACCAGGACCTGAAGGCTGTAGGTCCAACCCACTGTCCAGAGCTGGATGACATTTCCACATGGCTCCTAGGACCATGGTCAGCAAACTGCGGTTCTCGAGCCACATGCGGCTCTTTGGCCCCTTGAGTATGGCTCTTCCACATACTGCGCCCTGTAAACCCCGTCCAACAGATGGGCCCGGGCGGTGTAGGTGCACACGGGCGGGCACAGCGTGGGGCAGGGCACCACAGGGATAGAGTGACTGCATGGGGCTGCGTCCTGCAGGCGGAGTCCAGGCCTCCAGGCAGAAGGGGCTGGCAGGGCCACACAGGGAAAGCTGTGAAGAACACGCTTGCGTTCCCCACAGAGCCTGAGGCAGAGCAGCACGTGAGGCCAGGGCAGGGAGTGCCTTCGTGCCCAAGACTCGTTCTTTCTAGGCTGGGGCGGCGGGATGGGAGTGCAGGGGGGAGGGGAGCACATGTCAGCGCCCAGGTCGGATGCCCTTCACAGTGGGAGGACCAACATACTCAGCGAGGAGCACAAGAGGGAGTGTCTGAGGACTAGAGGGGGCCTCAGCCACCTCTCCACACAGGGCTCCTATAGGGAGATGAGAAGGGGCCCCCCGAGTGCCAGGAAGATGGTCCTGGAGAGGCCTGACTCTGGGGCCGACAGGGAAGCTGCTCTGAAGAGAACACAACTGAGTTAGTGCTGGGAGAGGGACTGCTAAGCACTGTGGTGACACAGGAAGCTCTCAGCCTGTGGGCTCAGCTTCAAAGATGCTGATTCAAACAAAACAGAACAAAAATCCAGAGGCCCTTTGTACCCCCCAGAAGGCAGCAAGTGCCACCCAAAAGGAAAACACCTCAGGTGCCGGGAGGGCAGTGCCACTGTAGCCCGGCCTCACCCAGGAGGACTCTGAGCAGAAAGAAAGGCGGGTGCTCAGTGAGCACAGCTGACCCGGCTCCAGGGGTTTTGCTCAAGGCCATGATTTGCATGTGTCTCAGGAGAGCCACCCAGGCAAGAGCCTGCTTCTGTGTACGGTGGGGCCTCACTCCTACAGGCAGCATGACACCCTCACACACCTCTGAATGTGCCCGATAAAATACTCGCAGGCCACATGAATTATTTTTCAAATTGTGCCCTTGTCTTAACAATTACTGTCACAATCTTCCCATTTCCCCCAAGACATCACCAGGGGCATCATAAACACGGCTTGGGAGAATCTGCACGTTAGGTGTTTGTGTGTAAACTTCTTGTGATTTTAGCCAAATGAATTATTTGAATATTTGAATAAGAAGTTCTCTCCTCAACAAGAAAACAAACAAAAGAAAAAGCTGATGACGATCTCCTCAGGCAGAGAAAACAGAACCGGAGGTCAGCACTCACGCTTGTCGGGTGCCCAGCGGCGGCTTCGAGCTGCAGCCTCACCCTCTGCGGCATCATCACATCGTCCTGCGGGAGGAGCCCACGTTAGCCCACGGGAGCCACACATGGAAGGAAGAGGCGGGCAGCCCCCAGCAAGGCGGGCAACAGACCAGACAGGCAGTGCAGGCCCGGCCCAGTGGACGGCACTGACCCAGCCACAGCCTGCAACTCCCGCGTGCTGCCCAGGGGACGGGCGAGCTGGCCGCATGGGCAAGCTGGCCGTGGCGGGCAGCCCGGGAGGGAGGACTGCAGAGGGACACTGTGCTGAGTTACAGGTCATGGTGGGGCAGGGGAGTGAGCAGTTAAAACACAGTGCCAAGCTTTTCCACTCTGTTCTGAACCAAGAACATGACTGGCTCAAGTCTGTGCTCCTGAGACCTCAAGTTAAAAAGAAGGAAATCACCACAGAAACTAGAAAATCGGAATAATACTAGGATGCCATGTTCAGAAGCTATAGGACCTTTACAGCGATCCTGAGAAAACCAAACTTATTTACACTCTTCATAGTCTTACTTCAAATGAACCCTGAGAGCAACACAATCTCCCACTGTCCAACCGACGCCCACCCCAGAGCATCCCGTCTCCACAGCAGGTCCGGTCACAGCTCCCACTATCTCCGACGCCCCTCCCCCCATCTTCCCCGGGACCAAGGAGGCCAGGTGTCTAACCTTCTCTTCCTCTCTCTGGCCCTAAATGCTAAAGGGCATCTTTCAAGGACCTCTGACAGCGGGCAGTGGTTGTGGACCTTCCTCTGCCCTCCTCGGTCTGTGGGTGGTGGCAACTCTGCAGACACCCATTTGCCTGCTTTACTTAGGTGACTCCTGGATTTGAAAGCCCCACCATTTTTTTTTTTTAAATATATGTTATTGATTTTTTACAGAGAGGAAGGGAGAGAGATAGAGAGCTAGAAACGTTGATGAGAAACATCGACCAGCTGCCTCTTGCACACCCCCTACCGGGGATGTGCCCGCAACCAAGGTACATGCCCTTGACCGGAATCGAACCCGGGACCTTTCAGTCCGCAGACTGACGCTCTACCACTGAGCCAAACTGGTTTCGGCGAAAGCCCCACCATTCTAATCTAGGCCCCAGATTTTCCAACACTTCTCTACCTGGACGTCACCTCAATTAGGACATTTTTCTTTCCCTTCACTGGAAAAAAGAAAGTTACAGCAGAGACCCTGTTGGGGAGAGGATGACTTGAGCCTCTCTTCTACTTCCAAGACGGAACCAAGCTCTTCAAACTGGGCTCTCCGTACTGGGGAGATCGAAAGAGCCCTCGAAGATGAGATGGTCCGATCCAGCACCAACCACCTGTGACCCAGAGCTGAACTTGAGAAGGAAAACAGCACCTGACCCCCTTCCCGGGGAATGCACAGAAGTCTGGGAGCTCCGTACCCCAGACTCGAGGAAGGAGCGCACGTGTTCTTCAAGTGGCTTCAAAGTTCCCACAGAGCAAACCCCTCACGGAGTGTGCACTACAGAGGCAATCACATGTTCTTTTTTCACCAATCATAATCATCTGTCATGTTATTAAACGTTTTTCATAAAAGATAATTCCCTCACATGGACGTTCACTGTTACTCCACTGGCCTGCACTGCCGTTTCTCATTTCCCATCCTAACAGCAAACACTGAAGCTCTTTGTACGTAAATCTCTCGCCGAGACCGGTTTGGCTCAGTGGATAGAGCGTTGGCCTGCAGACTGAAAGGTCCCGGGTTCGATTCCGGTCAAGGGCATGTACCTGGGTTGCAGGCACATCCCCAGTAGGGGGTGTGCAAGAGGCAGCTGGTTGATGATTCTCATTGATGTTTCTAACTCTCTATCCCTCTCTCTTCCTCTCTGTAAAAAATCAATAAAATATATTAAAAAAAAATCTCTCTTGGAATTTCAGAGGCGCCTACAGGAGGGGTCCAGGGCATATATGTTTTGCAGTTCTTGAGACACAATGCAAAATGATACCAACGACAGTACCCGTTCACACCTTCCAAATCCCAAGTACCTACAACTTTAAAAAACTCTGTTAACTGGTCTTTCAGCATCTCACTAATTTGTTTCATTGCAAATGATTTAAACTTTTTTTAAAGCCTGTCATTTGCACGTCCACGTCTGTGAAGTCCCTACGCCAGTCCTTTCCTATGTGTTGTCGCCCGTATTTGCTCATCAACTTGCACGAACTATTTATTCTCAAGGTTATTAATCTTTTTAGTATTATATCTGTCCACATCTTTCCAGTTTATCTTCATTTTTCTTTAGATGGCGCTCTGCTGTGCGATTTTGCTTTTTTACGTAATCCTATTTATAAAAACTTAGCTCATTAAGTGCTATGATAATTAAACAGCAAAAACCTATCTACCTTAAAAGTTCTGATTATAATACATTAGAAGTGACTGCCAAGAATCACACTAAAATGTAAGATTACTAATTATTCAACATATATATGTGTATCTTTTAGCAATAAAACAGTTACTCACCGAATCCAAAAAGCACAGGTAAGATCCTGAGCTCTGTGCTATTGCTTGGTTTTTAGAATATCCGACTGTTTAAAAAGAAAACAAAAGCTTTTTTATGATTCAATCTTTGGTGGTACATTTGCGCTACCAGGAGGGGATCAGGTCAGCCTTCGGAGGAGGGGAGGGAGAAAGCCAGGCTCCATGTTTAGCGGCTGATTCAGTAAGCACGAGGCTAACCCACAAACGGCCACCAGCACCGGGGCCGTGTGGGAGCTCCAGGCTGCCCAGGGCAGGTAAGCTCAGACGCAGGAACTGCTGTTGGTCTGAGGAGAAAGCACCAGCCGGAACGGCTTCTGAGCAGGGAATGCTGTGCAGAAATTAACGCTGAGCAAGCTCAGTCTGGGTGCCGAGGGCAGGGCAGATTGGAGGAGGTATCGAGTCCCAAAAGAAGGGGCTGAGGAGACTTCAAGGGGCACAACGACCACTCTCCCTAGAGAAGAGGTTGCTGACGCCTGAGTCGTGTTAACTAGACAGTTACAGATTTGATGTTGCCAAGAAAAGTGACACAAAGCAACACAGATGTGTGCAAAGTTAACACACTACATCCCTCTGGTACTCAAAACCCAGACAACCTGGAGAAGGTTGTAGGTGCCCAGGGGACACGAGCGAAGTATTTCTGGCCACACCCAAGGCACTTCCAGGTTCACTCCCATTGGGAGAGCACCTCTCCAGATGGAGAGGGCAGGCCCCTCCTGTCAGCTGCTCTGGAGCACCAAAGTCAGCCAGCTGCAACAGAGAAGTGGGGACAATTAACAGCCATCCACCCTCACTCTGGTCATCAAAGGCTGACCCAGGGCAGTGCTGTTTTCACACAGGGTAGCAGCTTAATTTCTAGCTTTAATCCCAGAGCTTAGCCAACCCAAGCCAGTCAGCAGAAGGGTCCCAGATTTCAACAAAATACAGGATAACAAGGCAGAGGCAGGCAGAGTGAGGGGCTCCTGATTGGGGATGGATTAGCAGCCATCACCAAAACAGCTGTGGCTAAATCTCCGTCGTCACTGCAAAGCGAGGCAAGCTCAGAGAAAGACCTCATGGGAACCAAAATCAAGAGCAGCACGTGGAAACTGAAAAACAGGAAGATACTCTCCGCAATCATGTTTAAATTACGAGTGCTGTTTAAAAGTTGCTTATTAGGGGAAAATCAAACCCAAGCTTTTGGGTGATGAAGGAAAACGCGGCTCACTAAGGACCTGGAAGTTTCCCACAATGAATCTTCTGTTTGGCAAAGACAAGGAATCTGCTTTAATATTATTGCCTTGAAGAAAGTCAAATGTTTGTGCCAGGGCCTGATGTTTGGGGAGGCCCGGCCCTTTGTGAGGGGAGCCAGTTGTCATGGTCACAGCAGAAAAAACTCAGGCTACAGTGTATGGCATCACATTCCTTACTCCTGGAGAGCGGAGGGTGGGATTGTGTTTTATTTTTATTTTAGCAAGTGATCAAATTATTAAGAAACGTTTCTACTGTGATAGAAAATGATAATGAATCTTAATCCAGTTAAAATAACCCAGGAATCCTGAAAATAGATACTCTGAGTCTATGTTATCCAATATTTCCTATTTAAGAAAATATTATTATAGGAAAAGATGTCCTTTCAGACATAATCAAATTAATTCCATTTTGTTATATGTAATATGGGATCTGCCTTACCCAATTTAAAAAAGACAGCACCATGACTCCATTTTTTTCAAAATTTTACAAATTCTTTTGTTATTAGAATACATTCAAATGTGATATAGCTCTAGTTATATCTAATCAAGAAAAAGTATTTTATGAAAGGAAAACCATTTTTATTTATTGATTTTTTTTTTTTAAGAGAGAGGGATGCATTGTTTTATTGCTCCACTTGTTTATGCACTCATTGGTTGATTCTTGTACGTGCCCTGACCGGGAGTCGAACCTGCAACCTTGGTATATCGGGGGACACTCTAACCAACTTAGTAAGTGGTCAACTCAAGTGTTACTCAGGATGCTTTTCAAGAGGATTTGAAAAACACAAAACTACCTACGTATATGTTGATAAAAAACCATTCATTGCAGCTAAATAATAAGATAAGCGTACAGTAACTGACCTCCTCTGGGAGAAGGGGAATCATGCCCTCCAATTACCACGAGGATACCAGAGCCTTCTAGCTTCACTTTCCATTTTTCAATGATAGCCATAGACTTGTCCTGAAAGCAAGAAGGCATTGGAAACTCCCATCAGAGCAGTCCAACGTGACTCACATGGGGGACTCACCAATGGGAGGCTCATAAGTACCTTACTGGCGTCGTTAAAAACCGAGAGCTCCAGGGAGCCTTCGAAGTCCTGCTGCAAAACAGACCTCAAGCACTCGTCCAACCAGGGCTCAGCATTGTGGACGGGGAGGATCACAGACTGGAATCCAGAGAAGTACGTATCAAACAGTGTGAACACTGAACACACTCATTTCCCGCAGGACCGGGCGTTACAAAATAACCCAAACCGGCTTCAAGGGAAAGAATGTGCAGACACATACAGTGTCTATGCCTTCTCTCCAAGCTCTTCAATCTCGGGCTCCAGGAGATGTATTTCATGTTACATGTCCCTCAATTGGTCTTTGAAAAGGAAATAAAAATCTGAAAGGCTTCAAAAATGTCCCCAATTCATGGGCAAATTCATGTTTCCAATCACTTGGCCAGAAACACCATCACTGTGGTTGAAACAAGCCTCTGTGCATCTTTCAGCCCCATCATGAAAATAACCGAGTGGGACTTTTCTGTGTGGGGTGCTCGTGTTCCGTAAACCATGATGTTGGAAAAGCAACAAAGAGACTGTTTTAAGAACCCCCTCCGCATGCTTCATCCGGCCTGGAGGGGACTCCCGCCCGCTCCCTCAGCTCTACTCAGTTCAGCAGCTGGTCGTGTCCTTTTCTCCGAGAGAACAGAAAAAACAAGAATTTCTAAGTGTACGGAACCGACTTCCGGTTAACGGTGCACATCACCCATTGCGCCACGGCGACCGCCCAGGTGCGCACGCGCGGAGGCGCAGACACCCGCGCCCACGCGGAGGGGTGTGTTACACGGAAAACCTCCGGGCGGAAACGGCTCCGCGAGGCTCCGAGAGAGACAACCGTGTGTGTTCTCCCGGGGCTCTGACCCAGCGCGTGTCAACCACAAAGCAGTTCCGTGCACTGACGCGTTTACTTCACTCTGGGGAATTATTTCCTCCAAGAAAAGGAAAAAAGAACCGGTCTATTCACGGTCTACCAGACAAAGCACCACGGGATAGCTGTCACAGGGCCGGACTCGGTGCGTCCGCGCCCCGACCCCCCTCCCCACCCCAGACAAGCCCAGGAGAGGGGGACCAGCCCGGACACGGAGGGGGAGGGAGGGGACGAAAGGGGACGGGAGCGGGGCGCGCGGCCACCTACCACTTGAGCCCGCATGGCCTCCTCCTCCGGGCGCCCCGCCCTCCGAGCCCTCGAACGCCCCGCCCACGTCGGCCTACAGCGCGTGCGCGGGAGGCGGGGCCGCGGTAGAGTCACCTCCTAGAGGCGCAGAGAGACGCCAATCAGGCGGCGGGCGTCGTGTGGGGGCGTGGCCCAGAGCAGCGGAGAGCCGGCGGTCGGGCTTTGGCGGTGGGGCCCCTGGTGCCCGGGCTCCGCGCTCATCCGTCCCTGGGCCCCCGGAGCCCGCCCTCACCGGAGGGGCTGCCGCCGCCCAAGGCCTCGGGGGTTCAGGGGTCACCGAAGCACGTGGGTGGTGAGGGAGGCGCACGCTTACGGATGGTTACGACCTAAAATCCGAACCTTGGCGGGCGGGGCGGGTGTCCTCGGGGGAAAGGGGGTGCGGTGGTGAGGAGGCCGGTAACTTGTCTCACCGGAGTGGGGCACCCACAGGCGGGGCGAAGGGAAGGGGAGCCAAGAAAGGCGCTCTGCGGTTAATGCCCTCCCTCCCACGCCGCCCCGCGCCCTGCGGTGCCTCCCCCACTCCCCCCCATCCCCGTCCCCCGGGTCCCCCTCCCCCCACCCCTCCGGTCCCCCTGTTCTCCCCCCCTTCCCCGTCTCCCCGGGTCCCCCTGATCCCGTCCCCCCGGGTCCCCCTGTCCTCCCCCCTTCCCGTCTCCCCAGGTCCTCCTGTCCCCGTCCCCCCCCCCCGGTCCCCCCGTCCTCCCCCCTTCCCCGTCTCCCTGGGTCCTCCTGTCCCCCCCCCCCCGGTCCCCTTGCCCCCCCCATCTCCCCGGGTCCCCCTGTCCCCCCCCCCGGGGTCCCCTGTCCTCCCCCCCTTCCCCGTCTCCCCGGGTCCCCCTGATCCCGTCCCCCCGGGTCCCCCTGTCCTCCCCCCTTCCCGTCTCCCCAGGTCCTCCTGTCCCCGTCCCCCCCCCCCCCCGGTCCCCCCGTCCTCCCCCCTTCCCCGTCTCCCTGGGTCCTCCTGTCCCCCCCCCCGGTCCCCTTGCCCCCCCCATCTCCCCGGGTCCCCCTGTCCCCCCCCCCCCGGGGTCCCCCTGTCCTCCCCCCCTTCCCCGTCTCCCCAGGTCCCCCTGTCCCCGTCCCCCCGGGTCCCCCTGTTCCCCCCCCCCGGGTCCCCCTGTCCTCCCCCCTTCCCCATCTCCCTGGGTCCTTCTGTCCCTGTCCCCCCCCTCCGGTCCCCCCGTCCCCCCCCCTCTGGTCCCCCTGTCCTCCCCCCTTCCCTGTCCCCCTGTCCTCCCCCCCCCCGTCTCCCCGGGTCCTGTCCTCGCCCCCCCTGTCTCCCTGGGTCCCTCTGTCCCCCCCCCACAAGTCCCCCTGTCCTCCCCCCCCCCCCCCGAGTCCCCCGGTCCTCCCCCCCGCCCCCCGTCTCCCCGGGTCCCCCTGTCCCCCCGGGTCCTCCTGTCCTCGCCCCCCCTGTCTCCCCGGGTCCCCCTGTCCCCACCGGGTCCCCCTGTCCTCCCCCCCCCCCCCCCCCGTCTCCCCGGGTCCCCCCCCCCCCCCCCCCGGGTCCTGGGGCCTCGTTGCCTGGGGAGCTGGCCCTGCGGTGGACAGCGCTCTGGGCGGGAGCCAGGTGGTCCGGCGCCAGCACGCGCAGGAGGGACCCACTGGGACAGGCCAGGGTGCCAGCACACACTCCTCCAAGTTAATGAGCAAGTTCACAGCCATCGCTGCAAGGACAAACCCTTTAATGCCCCGAATCAAGATCAAGTGCAAATCCTTCTATAAACTAACCACTGCAACAAAGCCGGACTGAAGTGTAATTTTTCCTTAAATTGCATCACTATGAGCAAAGCCCGTGGCACAAGTTGAAATCCTAGGTCACGTGAGGAAAAATGCCTTCTTATCTAAGGTGCAGCATGCTCCCTGGGATTGGTTTCCAAGGGCCAGTGCTCTCCAGGAGTGGGCTGTTAGGAATAGTTCCATTTAGACAGCTTGGTGAAGAGTCACATGGTGGCTACCAGAATGTGGGGTCTGATTTAGAGCTGGGGCCCCAGTAATCAGCGGGAGGAAGAGATGGGGGTGCCAGGCAGCCCCATGTCCTGTGCGTTGGACTTGGGCTTGGCTGTTCCTGCCTGGCTTTCTGTACATCTATTGGCTGCCAGAAACTCTTTTCACTGTGTTCTCCTTAATAAAAATTTGGTTAGAATCGTTTTTTGTAAGCAGAGTGCCAAGAGGCACTTCAGAAATTCAGTGTGGCTGGATGGGGCCTGAGGTCAGTCTCTTCACGGTAGGCAGATTGTCAAGTGAGACCCCCCGGAGAGGGTCGCTGGGAGGACATGGTCAGATAAAAAGATGAACAAAGTCAAGGACACCTGCAGGGAAAGCGATGCAGAAGTCCCACTGCTCACTGTTGGCTCACCAAGTGACATAGTTCCTTTTATTTATTTTATTTTTTAAATGCAGACTGTTTAGTGAAGACTGGTTGTGTTCAGAAGACCACCAGCCAAGGCCTCCAAATTTAAAAACCGATCAACAGCCTCTTGCGATGCTGGTATAAATGGTGAAGACGTGGCTGGGGACACCGGGCCCAGAGTCAGACACTGCCTTCAGCGTGTCAGAGAAGGGGAGGCGGGGGGGGGGGGGGGGGTTCAAGCTTTAGCAACAGCCCGAAGTTCCCTGTCAGCTCACACGGCAATACCTCCACGCAAGCATCCCTTCCCAGTTTCCTGATGTGAGGAGCCCCACAAGAGCCCTGGCAGGACCTCCCTGGGCAGCGGGTGCTGCTGGAAGGTGCAGAGCTCCCCAGGCTGTGGAGGGCAGTGCCCAGGACGGTAGGAGCTTGGCTGCCGTAGCTGCCTGAGCACCCCGATGATAGGTCTGTTCACGAGGAGCAGCCAGCATCTGCGAGTATGACATGCATGGATGTCTTTCTTGTTTTATTGTTTTGTTTTCCCTCTTTTTTAAAAAAGGCTTGTTGATAGTCACTGAGTTGATTTAAGAAGCCAAAGCAGGACTTCCTACCAGCTGAAGGATGTAATGAGGTTCCCATCACAGGAAGCATTTAATTAACAGCTGAGAAAACGTGGTGTGATGGGTGGCAGCATCTGAGCATCACGTAGGATGTTTCTCTTGGCCTGGATGCTACCTTCCTTAACATGTAGGTCCCAGGCCCAGAAACCTGGACTCTCTGAGCACCTGCATGAGGCTTACCACCAATACCTCTAATTTCAACCAGCAGAGCCATGGTTTACAGGTCTCTGCACATGGGTAATCTTCCCAGCTAATCTGCTGCAGAGCCTGAGTCTGGGCCTATGCAGGGCGGGTTTCTGCTCCAGGAGGCTGGGGCCAGGAGAGCGAGGCAGGCCAGGAGAGGGGTTAAGGTCCAGAGTGCTCTGTTGATGAGGGGGTGGGGGGTCCCCATCATGGCCCTTCCTGAGCAGAGAGCCCTTCAGCTCTCTCTGTAAGAGGTTGGCATCAGTTCAGTGCTTGTTTCAACATTTTAACATTCTGTTAAAATGGATGGGACCCTAAGCAAATAGGAATAAGTTTAATATTTTTAAAAGCTAACACTCAACGGCAAGAGCATGTTAGAACATGTCTTTGGAGAACACGTCTGGCCTTTTCACCACTGCCCACCGTGCCTGTCGACATGACTGCTGTGCTTCATGAACTGAAGGTGCGGAAGCATAAGAACTAACAGCCGGCTGGCATCAGCAGACCTCGGAAGAGGGGGCTTGCCCCTGGATCGCAGCTCTGGCAGACCTATCGCTTCTGGGCTTGTGCCCCAAGCAGCTGTCCAATAAAGAACGGCTGTTTCAGTCCTGAGCCTGCCTGCAGCAAATTAGCCGAGAAGTTTTACCCACGTGGAGACCTGTAAATCATGGATCTGTTGTTGAAATTAGGGGCACTGGTGATAAGCCTCACTCAGGTGCTCAGGGAGTGCCAGGTTCCTGGGCTCAGGATCTGCATGTTGGCTGCTGAGTCTGGAGATTTGCAGAGTGGAGGAGGTGGCATGAGATATTCATGGAGCTGAGTGGGGCCCAAACCGGGAGCAGGGAACAGGCCAAGAGTTAGTGCGTGTGGCCTCTCCCTTGTGGGCCCTTTGCTTAGAGTGACTGAAACTCGCAGAACCTGCTTCCTGACTGTGAAGGGGGTGTGGGAGTGTGTGGGAGACACTAACTTGTGGGCTTCCAGGAAGGGGTGAACAGGTTCTGACATGATCACCTGTTACCCCTCACGGATGATGGCTTCTTGTCAGGCCTAAATTGAAGAAATGTGGCAAAGCCTGACTGGCGTGGCTCAGTGGCTAAGCCTCGAACTAAGAACCAGGAGGTCATGGTTTGATTCCTGGTCAGGGCACATGCCCAGGTTGCAGGCTCGATCCCCAGTGTGGGATGTTTCTATCCCTCTCTCCTTCTCCCTTCCTTTCTGAAATCAATAGAAATATATATAAAAGAAAGAAAGAAAAACATGACAAAAAGGTCAGAATGTGGGTTGATGGGTGGTGTTCGTTACTCCTGACACAGGGCCCACCTGCAAGGACCCAGGCCTCCCATCTTTTCCCACCCCCAGGACCCTGCAAAACCCTGGGGCACTGAGAGTCCTGACC